ATATTTTATGACCATTTAGTCACACTGCATTTAATTAAGTCAAGTAAGCATAACAGACAAGGTATTTTACTTGCCCTTAGCAAAAGGAGGAAATTAAATTTTATTTTTACTTACTTTTCATCAAACTTAACTGCATATGTGTAGAGCAGTATCAAGGAGCAATTACAGTTGTATAAAGTCTGCTGGGCTGAAGAGCTAATTAAAATGATGTTTGAAAAAAACCACTTAATCTGAATGAACTCTTGCATTTTGAATAATAGATTAAATTTTTTTACTATTATTCATTTGCTCTTTCTAGTGCTTTTCACATATCACACATTAATTTTCAAAAGATACTTGTCTGCATTTGTGTGTGTGTTGATGTAATGAAAGAAGCACAAATGATTTGCTGAAGGTGATAAAATGGGCACATCATAAAGCTTGGGGAAGCTTCTGGGCCACAGTTATCCTGGGAACTTTGGCACAAACTTCTTGACTGTAATTTCGTTCAGGACCTTTGGAATGGGTTTAGCTTTTTCCTCTGAAGTTTCACAGAGAGAAAGTTGGTGTTCAGATGATCATCTGCTGCTGTTTGTAAAAGGTTTTAGAAAAGCCAGAGCTCATTACACAATAAACAGCTAATCCATATTAGCTTACTGTGATAGCTGTAACGAGTCGGGATATGAAGACAGGCTGAAGATTCTTACATCTCATTCACTGATAATTCCATCTGACTAGATTTTTTTTCTATATTTTTCTCTGTCTCGAGGAGGAGGCAATGTCACTTTGTGGTTTGACTTTAGTCTGAACATAGAAAAGGAGTTTAAGGAGAGATTACAGATCTCAGACTGTGTTTTTGGATGGCCCCTCTCCCTAGCTGGGTGAATGGTGTTAGCTGTGCTCTCTCTGAGTGTCAGAGCTATATTTATCACTCAGGAATTGTGGGCATGTGAATTTGTGCTCTGACCAAAACAGTGCTTCAGTCAACATGTTTCTATTTCATTATGTGCACACTTGTTATTTTGCTATTATTTACTCATAATTTCCTTTTCTGTCCTTTAAACAAATAAATATCTTCAAAGGAAGAGCTAGATATTTCGAGAATGAGGTTTTCTCAGAGTGTTGTTTTATTAATAGAATGACTTACATTAACAAATCAGTGGAAGAAGTGCTAACGTGACCCAGCATATTGAATTTCACTTTAGCAATCTGTATTCCAGAAGGAAGTCCTGAGAAGCAATCATTGACAATAGAACCTCTATTTAAATTACAAAATAGGCAGCATGCTGAATGCATATGGAGCATATGAGAGATTAAATAGAAGTGTTCATTTATGTTCATAAGGTAACCAAGACAATAAAAATGGGCTCTACAACTAAGGACTACAGAAGCTGTGCTAATGAAAACAATAATTAATATAATTTAAGTTACTATACCCAGGGCAGCTGTAAATTGATGTTATTAATTATACAACAAACCTGTTTGTAAATTGATGACATAGGAGCTCATGGAAGTCATCTAGAATAAATTTTTTGTTTTGAAGCTTTTTGGCAATATATTATGAAGCTGCCCATAGACACCAATGGATATATATAAAGGTTATTTATATTAAACTCTACAATTTCTATTCTTCAAAAAACTAGCTAATGTGAAGGCTGCAATTATAAACAATCTGGTATTTCACGTGCATGAGATTGATTATATAATATAAACCAGAATTCCTTAGTTATTGAATTCAACAGATGTCACATTTGGTATTTTTCTGCCCCTGTAACTGTATTGATTCAAGTGAATTCCAGCAGCAGGAAATGTATGATATTGAATTACCTCTGCTGCTACTACTGATTATGAAGGAAAGATGATAAGAAGTTTAATATATTTTTAAAATATACATTTGAATTTGAAGCTTTTTTCTTTATTGTTTACCTCTATATATCAGAGTGGCTATTAACAGATGTAACGAAGTGCTGGAGGTCCAGCCTGTTCATGTCTTTTCAGTTCTTCAAGGTTAGAAACATCAGCCAGAGAGAGAGATATGGTAAATAAAATGAGTATATAAAAAAGGTATAAAAATCTTTTTTCTAAATGAAAAATTAAATTTTAAAATGTCAGTGTATTTTTACTTATTTTTAAAAAATATATATAAAATGAAAATAAGTACTTAAATATAATTTAAAGCCACAAGTATTTCTCTTTTGTTTTCCCTCAGTGGCAATGGTTGTGTTTTCTGGCTAGTCATGTGATATTTGCTTGTCTGGGTTTCTGTGAAGCAGCTTAGATTGCGTGACCAGTTTTACCAGCTGGAAGTACCTGTTTCTCAATTGCTGTGGGTGAAACTAAGAGGATCACAGTCCTGTCACTGCTCAGTGCAGTACCTAGCAACTTGAAACTGTCTGAAATGCAGTAATTGTAATTGCTTGTGTATGCTTTCTAAACTTCAAGAAAATAATATACACTAGTGGAATATAAATAATGCCATGATTTAATGGCATCTCCCACCTGAAAAAAAAAATCTTGTTTCCCTATTTGAATGTATTTTCCAATCATAATTTTAGCTTGCAAGCAATTTTGGTGATTATTTCCACAATGTCTTTAGGCCAAAGATGGTAAGGTGTTCTGTAATTTTTCCACCAAAGCAATAAAATGGGAAGTGCAGGGTAAGACACATACAAAATAAGGTGGTATCGAGATATCTCCATTACTGTGCAACAGCCTGGAGCCTCTAGTCTAATTTCTTGTTTGTATTTCCTTGTTACAAATGTGCAAATAAAATAATGGGAGTTTAGCAATGCTGACACATTATATTGGAATTTGCCATAAATCTGTTTGTGTTTGGGCTTGCTATTGCACACTTATTCCCTTTCTTCCTTTTTCTTTTATAAGGAATATTTTGCCCTCTGACTTAATAATGTCCAGTGATACAGAACAGCTGCTGTCAAGTGTCAAAACAAGAGCATGACTAAAGGGTGATGTAGAGGGGGAAAACGTTTTTGAAGACTACCAAGGTAGTCAAAGTCGTCAGCTGCACTTCCTAATTAGAGAGAGAAGATGAAAGCAAAGCTACAGGTCTTCAGGAAGGCAAAGGCCATCTCTAGCTGATTTTAGTGCAGGCCCAGGCAGGGTGCAGTGAATGGTGTCAGCTGTACAGAAATCACTAATGCTGATGTGATGCTCCTGCCTGTGTGCAGGTAACCCTGCCCCTTGAAGGCCCCTTGGGCTGGAGGCTGCATCCCTGGCTGTGTCCTGGGGAGTGGCAGCTGCTCCCTAGGGAGTGCATCCTTGAGTGCTGATGGCACTTGGCTGGCTTTTATCAGGTGCAAGGACTAAGTGTTTATTGTGCTGGCTAATAATAGTCAAAAATTGTGTTGGTCTGTTATGAAAAGCAATGATCAGACTGAAGTACCTTAGCTCCTGAGAGAAGGACAGAGCTGTTGTTTCTCCTTCACATAAAATAACATCCTGAGCTCCTGGCATGATGCAGCATTTAGCTGTTATTCTTTCACTGTTGATTCAGGCCGTGCATTTTTTGTTCCAGTGCTTGGTCACTTGTGTGAAATGGAGGGGGAGGTAAAAGTAGGAGAGCACCTTGTACCTGCACACTTGGATGTGTCTGAGAGACCACATTTGTTCCAAACTGTAGAGGAAAGAGGAGTTGGCTGCATTTCTACATATAACCTGCCTCTGTTTTGCCCAAGCACTCCAGGAGACAGCTGTTAGTAGAAGTAACTAATATTTGCCTAGAGTTTTTTAGAACTAGAAATCTGTGTCCATCATTTTAATGTTCCAGCCACAAGATGATCAAGTAATGTAAACCATAATTCTGCTCTGTTCCATAATTGCTATTTGCTTATGGATGCAAATTACAATGAAGCATAATGAGATTCATAGCTCTTCAATTAGTTTCATTTTAAACAAGCAAGCAAGCAAAAAAAAAAAAAAGAAACAGCGGAGGCAATAATCATATTTTCCTGTATGATTCAATACAGTTCAACCCTCTGCATATTAGACTTCATTGAAAAGACAATTAACAGTCATAAGATTTACATAAGATATAACAAAGAAATATCAATCTACTTCATAGTTTTGAATCAGAAAAAAGAATTTTTTACACCAACAAGTCATGGGAAAGTCAGCATGTCAGGTTCAGTGGTTTGGGGTGTGGCTCCCTCTATTTACCTGGTGCATGTGCAGTTCCAATTCCTGAAATCTGGCTAAGCAATTGAGAGCTTTACCATGATGTGGACTTATTCTTTTCCCTGGTCCATCTCCTGTGCAGGGGATTCAAGTGAACAGAGAGCACTGTGATAAAATCAAACATTTAGGTGAAAATGCCTTCATTTACCCTCTCTTGTCTTTGTGCATTCAGGCCCTATATACACAGTCCTGCTGAGAGGGCAGCAGGGGGAAGGAGAAAAAAGCAGACAGACAAACAACTAGTTAGTATAGGTGGCTGGGAAGCCCAAATAAAATGGAGAAGATACTTAAATTGCAATTTATTTCTGATATTGCTCAGAATTAGCTGCATTTACATTAGAAAAGGTGAACATATTTTGCTTTTTTTTTCAGAGCAAAAGGTTTTCCAATTTGGTTTTTATTAAGCAAATACTCTAGGGGCTGTAATTTGCCCAGATACACTGGTATAATTGAATTTTTGTTCTACTAAAGTGGAGTTAAACAAAAATAAAAACAGCCTTGAAATGGATTAAATATGGTTTCCTGATTTTGTTATAGAAAATGGAAAGAATAGCAAGCTAACAAACAAAAGTTCTCCTGTCTGCTGAGCCACCAATAGAATATAGAGAATGTTGGTGATTATAACCAAGGCAGTGTTTTGTCTGTTAAATAAGGCTTTAAAACACAATTAGCCAGTTAAAAACCCACACCAAAACAACTACAGGTAAAGTTAAAAACAGACATGTAAGTTATATAGATTCATTATTTCATGTTATTCGTATCATCTCAACTCTGATAAAAATTGCCTTTATTTGGATAAAGAAGTTGAATTAATTTTTGTTTTGTAGGTCTCTTCTCAAGAATCTGGGACCAAACCATTGACCTTCACATTCGTACCATCCATTGGACAGCTTCCAACCCATTTTGAGGTTGTGGATATCTCTAAGTTCCTTGTGACAATTCCAGAGGAACCAAAGGATCTGAGCAACCAAAAAATTGTAAATAAGGTAGATTTTTGTTTGCATTACTTTTTCCACTTCTTCAGAAGATAAAGAAAATTTTATTCTGAGCATTGCTGAACTGAAGCCCTTTCCCTTGAGTGGTTCCTTGGCTTGTGCTTGGTTTAATTACCAAGATGTGGAATCATTGTGCAAGAGAAGGCGAGTATCTGCTCAATAGCTTGCTTTGCCTTTGCCAGACTTTATATTGGAAGGAAACCCTTGATCATCTCAATTCTGTGCTCTGTCAGTCATGCAGTGGCAGACGGGGATTCCTTCTTAATCTTCATGACAGCAGGGGTGGTGTGCAAGGAGTGTTATTACATGGAAATGGACCAGGAGTTGTTCACTGGATCCTGATTTCAGCAAATGCCAGTGCTGTGGCTTCCAGAAAGGTGCCAATTCCTTTCATAGCTGCATAGTAATGCATCAAAGTGGAAGCAAGCTTTTGATTTTTGGAAACTTTTTCCTGTGATTTCCTGCAACAGTGAAGCCAGCAGGACAGCATTCCTGGCTCTCCTTCTTTTAGTCAAGCCTTTGTTTGTTTCTTTCCTGCCTCACAACACTTAATGTGTTATTTTATTCCATGCTGCTTGGAAGGCTACCCCAATCCTCAGGTTAATGTTAGTGCTTATGGCAATTCTGCTTTTGTGTAACAGCTCTTTCCCTGGGACATTGCTGGGGCTGCAGTTCTGGGTGCTTTTCCCTGTAATAAACTTTTTGGAGGAGTTCACAGCCCTCTGACCTGAACATATTCCAGCGTTTCAGTGACCTATCTCTTGAAAAGGGGTTAGGTCTGGGCAAAGGGTGGATGTATTTGTAGAGACATTCACTGAAATATTATCCCCCGGTGGTTTAATGAATTAGTTACATTTACAGCTGCTCAGTATTGGTTTTGTTATAAGTAATGCCCAGGGTAAAGCAGAATCAGGTCATCCTGTGTTTCTCTTCCCCATGTGTTTCTCTGTAGACAAAGGAACCCTTTCTGGCAGTTGATGCAGTAGTGAGGCCTTCATAGCACAGATTAGTCCCTCTTCTAAAATGTCTAGAACCTGAACAATGTTTTGACAACCAGCATCAGATAATTAAAATAACACTGTCAAACTCGTAGTGCTACTATCCCCCTTTGTGGTCCAATATTTTTTCTAAGAACTGAACTCCAGGACTCATGGAGCTGCCAGTGAAGTGGAAATTTGTAATTACCATGTTCCTCAAGCAGCACTCAAATATGAGCCCCATCTGGAGGCTTCCTCTTGCAGTACACAATATGTCCATTCATTTACCTGATTCCTCCTCTGACAGAAACATGATTTACAAAGCAGTTTCGATACTGAATGCCTTAATGATATGTGTGTTATGTGTGTAGTCTGCACTATTCCTGCTTTCATCCGAAGCATGCTTGAGAAGTGACATACTGGATGTGGAAATTGCAGCAAATACGAGGAACAATTGTGGTCTGTGCTGCGCAGCTTGAACATACAGCAAAGCTCTCTGACCTCTGAGTCTTCGAAGAATGCCTTGTCTTAAGGGCCTTTGTTTCTTCATTAATATGTATAGGTTTTGTCCCAGATTTGTCTGTCAGGCTGCTCTGAGGAGCATTGTCTGCTCCGTGGATGCGGCGGTCGGGGTGCCTTCCCACCGTGTCTGGTGTAGTGCGGTGTGACAGCTCACTGGGCTCGGCTGCACCCTCCTTCCCAGCCCCTGAGCCGGCCCTGTCTGGGGCCACCGCTGTCTCAGAGCCCCCTGTTGCTCTGTGAGCCGCTGGGAAGGCAGCCCCCACAGCACTGGCTGCGGGCTGGAAGCTGGGACTCCCCAGGGAAGTGGCTTCTGCTGTGCACTCATGCCTAAATTCTTCATTTGCCTACTGCACTTTTGGTAGTGCAGAGACTGCCACTACCTAAAGCCAAAATTGCTTTACATTTTGGGGAACACAAATAAAATGCAGTTAATTGGGATCTTTTTCCTTGTGTCTTTTGCAGTCTGACACAGTCTCTGATGAGCTGGTCTTAAAGAGTGGGGCCAAACAAGACTGTGTGTCCACTGTCTGTGCAGACAGCGCCCGAACGGCTTTCCCGTCCCTGGGGTGTCATTCAAGCAGAGGAGACATGCAGGAGAATGACCTTTTTAAGGCTGAGTTTATCCTGATTACGGACTCCGGTGATGAAGATGAAGTAGCTGCTGCCTCAAGCAATGTTCATCAGCCTTCCAATGGCTACAGTGCCATCAGTGCTCAGCTGCTGACCACATCCCACCTTTCCCCTGGCACCGAGGCAGGGACACCTCCCAGCGATGGGCACCTTCCAGGTGTTGCTCTTTCCCACAGTACTACTGATCCACAAAAACATCAGGTAATGAGGTCTTTAGAGATAACCTTTGCTTTCTAAACCTTTCAGGATATGAAGCCAGTTTGTGCAGCTGGTGGGTGAATTTGTTCTTAATTAACATTTTCATTGGCCATTTCTGTAAGGTTGGGACCTTAAGGAGGTGTCCCATCCCTTTTGACTTGCTGCCTCTCCAGCCTACCCATATGATTCTGGTGTGTGTGTGGAGCGGATGAGGCAGATTTATTCTTTCCTTTAAGAGCAGCTCATCAGGAAAGCAAGTTAATCAGGAGATGTTAGGTTCCTAGCTAGTCTAAATTGGGTAAGGTCATTGAAATCAATGGAGCCTCGAAATCATTTGAATTTTTAGCATCAGACTTCTCAGACCTAGATTCTTTTTTCTCCTCAGCACCTCTTGCAGTCCTTTATGCAAAAGAAAGAAGCTGTAAAGTCCTATTATTCTGATTGCTGGTTGGTACACCTGACTTTGCACAGGTGTAAAGAACTAATGAAGATTAAATTTCTATTTTATGTGGACCTTTATAGGTGCATTAATCGACTTATTAAATTTTCAATTCTCCCTGGGGCATTTCCAAAGAAGAGTCTTTGAAACGTTTCATTTACAAAATGCGTCAATCCAAACTACTGCATGAAAAGTTAATGTCTCCCCTCTTGGGAAGAACACTGATGTATATTGAAGGGTGTATATGAAGTGGAAAATTCCACCTTTAGCAAAATAGCAATGTCTGTGTCACATGAAATAAATTCAGGCATTTCCTTTGACCTTGACTGGGTTACCATCACTTGAAAATGCAATTCTTCATTGATGATTTAAAAACAAATGTTAAGCATGGCTACTTTGTTTCTGAAAATGATTTCCAGATTTCCTATCTGGTGTTGAAATACTTTTGCCACTCAATTTTTCGTAAAAGTTCAGAGTCAATTTATGATAGAAGACATTGTGGATAAGAAATCCACTCTGGTTTGGGATTCACAGCATATGAAATGTTTATTTCTTCTGAGAAAGTCCCAGTAAAGCCAGTGAGATTTTTCCATGAGGAAGGTTAAAGTCATAGATAAGCATACATAGAGGAAGCAGTCTGTAACAGAATACTTGTTCTGAGGAAATACAAATTTACTTTAGCAATGTTTGGGCTTATTTGGGTATTTTTTAAAAAAGCCTCTACAGAAATTGGGTAAATTTTAGAATACTATACAGAAGAGTTCCTATGTTGGATCTTTCTTAAGTTTCTGGTGACTTGAGAAGTAAAGAGGGGTTTAGCTGGTGAGGTTTAGCTGGAGAAGATAAAGATTGCACAGAATAAGAAATTAAGTCCAATTTTGCTAACTGTCCACCTGAACAGGAAGAGAGGCAGTATGTAATGTGGGTAATTGCATATCATGTCATTATTCTTTAGGCCCAAATTTTCAAGACTGTACTTCCTCAGTCTTCGTTATCTCAGTATCTTTAGCCATCTCTATGGCTTCATAAAAAAGATGTTTTTACTAAGCTGCCTTTCACTGTTATTCTGGTTCTAAGATGTTTCCTTAGGCATCACTCTTTCTGATTTGTTATCTAATGAAGGATCATCAGTTCTGAAATGAGGGAAAAACTAAAAAAAGATTAAAGATATGCATTGTTTATCTGTTGGTACATTTCCTTTTTACAAAGGACTCCATGTATGGGCTACTTTTTAAGTTCTTGGATTATAAGGGCAGTATCATGTCCTTTTTAAGAGTTATTGCATGTAACATTATGTTAACTTAAAAACATAATTAGACAACGAGTTTCCTGACAGATGTGAAAAAAGCAAGGACCAGTATTGGGGACCATTGCATTGCAGAAGGGATCACTCTAACTGACCCAGAGGGCTCATTCTGCTTAATACATTTCTGACTTTGTTTAAACAAAACGAAAAAAGGAAAGCACTAAAAAATTGGAAAATTCTGTTCTGTGAGACATAGAGGTCCTGACTGATGTTGGAAAACGCCACGCTATATTCAAAGTCTGAAAAAAAATAACCTGTTATTCTGGTCACATTTGGAACTTCTTGGTAATAGTTTAATGTTTATATGTATGTCAGGCATGGGCTCAACTTGGAGAAATTTCTTGACTTGCTGTGGGGGGGTCAGTAACTGGAGAGATTTTTAGTTATTTGAAGTCACTTGATGTTCCTCAGTCCATTGAGTGCTGTCTGGTTTGGCTTTTCCAGACAAATGAGTCGGGGTCCCTACAAACTCATGCCATTGCTTGGACAATGCACCTTCCTTGTTGGGAGAAACTGGACTAAATAGCATTTATATCAATTGGGTCTCAGCTCACAGTCTGATTTACTGTGTTGTCTCTAGGGATTTTTTCAGGTTTTCCACAGTTTCTGGTATTTCCTTCTGACTTTCTGGTTCTCAGGTTGCAGTCTTTGTAGGTAATTTGTTTTTAATTTTTCCTGTCTATAAGGAGATTCTACTGAGGTCAAAGCATGGTTAACTGGGCCCAGGATCAGGTGTAAATTGAAGATATGATTCACTCAGACATGATTTCTGCCTTTTGGGGTCTCAGTTTGCATACTCTTTGCTTTTTCCTGTTTGACCAGCACATCTTTCAGGGTCTTGCTGGTATAACTAACCACATCTTTTGTGCCCTTCCAGAACAGTGTGACCTTACCAGAATGACCATTTGCCTTGTCCCCAGCTCAGTTCTGCCATTTCAAATGTGCTAAAGGTCTTCTAGGCAAGGCTCAATACTGGTATTATGTCCACTTTGAAAATTCTGTAATGATTAACTACAAGGCATCAAGATCTTTTTCAAGTGCCTTTATCCCTTTGTGCTAGTGTAACCTTGCCACCTATTTCAACTTTTCTCATACATTTTTGGGACACGTAGAGGTACTCAGGAGAAGAGAAAACGGCTTGCAGTTGAATCACCAAAGAAGAACAAATCTACTTTGGTCACTCACTTCTTCTGCACTAATCCAATTCACCTACAGGAGGGTTTAATCCACTAGAGAACCTGAACAGAAAAAATTCCACTGATTAAGGGAAGTTATTCTATCTCACCTGGCACTGCTGAGGCTGCAACTGTAAAGCCATGCTCAGTTTGGTGGCTTCAAATTCAAGAGAGATGTGATGAAGGGAGGGGGGTCCAGCACAAAGGTGTAAACATGTCTGGGGCACACGTGAGCTGAGGCTGAAGGAGCTGGCTTTGTTGACTCCCACCAAGAGACAGCCAAGGAGGCGTCTGGGAGCTGCCCAGAGCCCCTGCAGGGCAGTTATGGACACGAGAGAGCCAAACTCTCCTCTGCAGGGGCAGGTGAGGCAGCAATGGCTGCAAACCACAGCGTGGGCGATCCCATCTGGACCCCAGGAGCAGCTTCCTCAGTGGGAGGTGGTGCAGCACTGGCACAGGCTGCCTGGGGCTGCTGGAGCTCCATCAGAGCTCTGGGGACTGAGGGGACACACACACAGCTGACTGAGCCACTGCTGCTGGTCAGAGCCCTGATTTGGGTAGGAGGCTGCACTGGATGACCTCTGGAAGTCGCTTCCAAGCCACTTTGATTATGATTCCCTGATCCTGTAAATGAGGTTCATCATCTATGGATGTGGTTATTAATACTGTGTTGCAATAGCAAAATCATTTCTGAATACTTGATTAATGGCTCAATTAGCTCAGCATGTGAATGTTCAGTGGTATTTAAACTGGAAGAATTCTGCAAAATGTCTTTATCTTACTTGCAGGAGCATATTTGTCATCTGCTACCATCAACATTTTTGTAGCTGCTTATAAATCTTATTAAGTTTTAACTAATTAGAAGTCAGTGCACATCATAAGATTTTATTATGAAGTTTCATATTTGTTCCTCACTTTCTTTTAATCTGTTGTCTTTGTAAGGGAAATTTATCTATTCTAGTTCTATTCTATTTATTCTATCTAATCTAGTTTGAAATACAGAGATTAAATACCCTCACTCTGTTTTGGTAGTTGATTAACTTCCAGAATTCATTATTAAATTCAGGAAGCTGCTCCAAATTATCAGATTTATTACCACGCTGCTTTTCAACTTGTTAAATAATTTTATCTTTCATGACATATTTAATAATAGTTTTTCATAATGATTAAATGCTGGTAAATGATTTTCAATTTCCAGTATTTTTGCTTCTTCTTAATTAGCAGCATTTTCAACAAGAGGCCTAATTTCTCAATTGAATAGAATATTATACAAGGATATAAACAACATTAATTTTCATATCCAATATTTTCCCTCTATACATCCATTGACTTTCCACTTTGAAATGTGACACCTTAACAACACTAAGAAGTTAGTGTTGTAAAGGCATTTGGAGGTTTTGTGTTTATTCCTATAAATCAAAGCACTGACCTGGCTTTTCTGAAGTTCCCTTATGCAGACAGCGTCTTTGGTTTAAAAGGCTTGCTATTTGTATGGTATCATTTAGCAAGAAGAGCTCACTGATTTTAAGTTATAAGGGCTAATAGGGTTTTGAAGTGTGTGTTTAGCCCATATTTAGGCATATTTTTGCCTTTGAAAGCTTTTAAATCTTCCTCTTCTGTTGCAACTTCTTCCAGCATATGCTCTCACTTGAACATTAGTTTTGTTCTTATTTTTGTTTTGTAATATATCAATACTATATTATATAATCATAATCATCATAATTCCCCTCTATTATGGGTAAGACATATGTATTAAAAATATAATTAATAAGCTGAGCCAAAGCCGTGAGAAAGTAGTGTGTTGAAACTGAATCATATAATAGTCTTTCATGGAGCTGCATAATATTTTCAGGGTATCTAACAGCAGTTAAATAGGTGTTCTGATATTTACATCAAGTTTGACGAAATTGGAGTCAATTTCCCTGCTTTGAAATTGCTCAGTCAAATGTTAGGTGACACTTTGTATCCTTTTGGTTTTACAGTTGACTTTAATCATGATTTCATACTGCTATGCTTTATTCATATTGTGCATACCTCAGTTTTTAATTTCAGCATTATAATAACTTGGAAGATTTTGAGAGAATTTCTTTCTTTAGAAGCATGAAACTGTATAACAGGTTGATAATATACTTGTATGCTCTAATTAGTTTTGACAAATCCTAATTAGAATAGACCCAAGAAAAAAGACACTCATGAAAGAGCTCATTACTGTTTTATTGGTGTATCGAAAGACTGTGGAGAAGGGGATAAGGACTCTCACATGCCTGCAAACTGTCAAATGCGCTGCTCTGTGAATGACAGGAGAAGTGAAAAGCAGACTGGATGTCTGATTTAAGTAGTTCCAAGCAAATTTCTCATTCTGATATCACAGTGCTGCAGAAGGGCAGTTTGGTTGTTTACTGAATGAGAAAAAGAACACTTGACTTGAATCCTATTTTCAAAAAGGCTGCTTTCCAGTGAACTGGCAAAGTGAGATTGGTCACTATTGCAATTTTCTTACCTTCCATTGTGTTTGCATAATGTGGATGGCATCACATGATTCCGGACATTCATGGCACCACTGTCTTGGCTTCCACCTAAAAGGAAAAATACTGTAGCCTTGAACCTTGTTTACATCAACAAAACTGAAGTGTCATAAACCCAAAGTACCACATAGCTTGTCTGCCTCAGTGACCTCCCCATAAGGACCTTATCCATCAGGCTCTATGGCCAAGCTTAAAACAGCCCTATGCTTTTAACCTACACAGCAGTACTAATGGAACCCTATACGCATGACCACAGGACTGAAATGTGAGGTGTTTAACAGTTCCACAAGTTCCATCTATTTTAACAATTCTTTTTTTTTTTTTTTTCCTCTCCAGTTAATTTCTACTCTTTCCACCTCTGATCATCTTTCCTCTAAACCACCTGCTGTCCACTTAATTTCTCCAATTAATCAGAAAGTAGCGTGTGGTGCCGTGGTTAACATGAATCAAGCCTCTTCGCTGGAAGATTCCTGTAACAACTGGCAGTCAGCAACCAGGTTTTCTAAGCAAGAGTCATCTCTCTACTTTCAATCTGCTTCCCATAGTTCACCTCCCTCAATGTCTAAAATATCCTCCTCTGCATCAAAGAGTTGGTACTCCACTCCTCGATTGTCTGATAACCTACAAACACCAAGTCTCTATAACCCTGACTGTGTTTGCAAAATGGGAGGCTTCACCACATCCTCTGTTCAGACAAAGAGTCCAAATCTTTCCTCCAATCCTCCATGTTCAGCTGAAGTGCAAGGATCTTTAGCTCAGTCTATATCCCCGAGTTCTTCCAAAAAACTGTCTCCTCTTCCTGTACGTATAATAACACATTCATTATCTCCTAGCCCTAAACCTTTGTCTCCACCCTCTCTTTATGGGTCCTCTTCGACCATATGTAGTATAAATGAGCCTTACACACAAGCGTTATCCAGAGGAAATTCAGCCAAGTCAGGAGTCAAATCCCCTCTGCCAACCAGACTGACTCTCTTAACTGCTATTCTGAGATCAGGCTCCTCTCAGCGGAGGCCGCTTTCTCCTGCTTCTTGTCCCACATTTTCCCCTAGCTCCCTTAGTTCCTCAACACTTGCAATAGATCGAAAGTTCAAAACAACTCCCCCAACCCCCAAGAAATCTCTTTCAAGCCCTCCTATAAGGCCAGATTCCCCCAGCAAAGAGGATTATTGGCTTTCAGGATGGGCTCAGCATCTGCCTTTACCTTCCAAGCCTCATCCCACCCCTCAAGCGAGGTCCCTTTCTCCTAAAAAGCCCCCTCCCGTTCAATCACTTTCTCCAGACTGCCGAAATTCTTTGTCATCCCCTCTCTCCTCCCACAGAAGATCAATTGCCTCTCCAGATTTGCAGTCTTCACTGCGTCCTCCTAGTGCCCCAGCTCCCTCTTCCATTGCATACCCCACCTCTCCTTCTCCAGAAGGGCTGGGCTGTTCTGCCTCCCGGTCCCGGGCACCTCAGGAGTCTCAGAGAGTGCACACTTACTCACCCATCTTCACTTGCCGGTCATATCCTTTGCTTGCTTCTACCTGTCCTAGTGGTGCATTGTCTCCTCCCTCAGAAAGACAGTCATCTCCTTCCCCATGTTTTTTGCACTCACCTTCCAGATCTGGATCAGATTCACCCCAAACATCTGTTCATGAGATCAGTGCCTCCTCTCCTACCCCTTCTGGCATCTCAAAGCAGTGGCCTCTCCCACGGCCTCACTGTACCCCACTGGTTCCACAAACTGGTAGCATTAATTCCCATCCACTACTATTGAATTCTTCATTGGTGCAAGCAAATTTTAGGTCTAACTCCTCCTCTCCGAGACCTGAGCATTCTGCCACCTCATCAGTGTTAAAGTGCAGATCTCCCATCTCAGACAAGGCACCAGGCACACTGCCATCAAGACCCAGAGAGCTGACTTCACCACAGTCTTTTTCCCTGCCTCCTGGCCATGAAAACTTCAAACCCAAGGTACTCTTGGTGCATGCTTATTTTATAATATTTCTTTGTCCCTATAGGAAAAAAATCACACCCATGTTGCAGAATACTAGTAAAATAAATGGGATGTGGAAAAAATGTGGAAAAGGAACAGGTTTTGTATTAATAGTGAAGATAGTGAAAATTAAATCCTACCCTTCAAATTGCTAGCACTGTGTTCTGTATTATGGAGAAGATGTTGTAGGAATCCTTTAGCATGAAAAAGAAGATACTTTATTCTTGAGTATGATGATTTACTACTAAAGATGGATTTGTGTGCAGTGGCTCTGATGTACATTTGGTACACATATTTGTGAAGCTTGCCTAAAATCCTGGTGTACCAAAAATCAACCATGAAGCATGTTCTATTCACCCCATTCTAAAATAAATCCTTATGTGCTCCCAGGGAAAGAAATAGAAGTGTGGTGATCTGAGGTGCAGGGCTGAGCAAGAAGCAGTTTAATCTAATTGATGTGAACTAGCTGTTCCACTGATAAGTGATTCCTAAGCACCCAATCCTGCCTGTCCTCACTTCCCTGGAGGCTTTCCTCACCCCAGCCACCCTGGGACTAGCCTGGGGCAATAGTGAGCTTAGCCTGAGCAAAGGCTTTGTGGCCAAGGGCCAGCAATGGAAAATGAGGACAATCTCCTGCCTCTTCCCTTCCTTTTGTACTCCTCTGATTTTGTTGTGCTAGGCAGAGCATGAGGGGGAAAGAAAAGCCAAGCTTCCTACAGCCCAAACTACTGCAAATACCAAAGTCTCACACCTGGCAGATCAGCCAAGCTCCTGCTGTTTGTCATCCACCCAAAGGCAGGAGAGCCATTGCAGGGTGAGAATGAGCAACAATGGCAATTTCTGCAGGAGGGCTTGGGAACCAGTCACACTGTGGATTTAAAGGTGTATCTCAGGAAAGAGAAGGGAAGGGAAGGGTATCCAAAAACATGCAGCAGGTAGGTGAAAACAAGAGGAGCTGCTATGCAAAAAGGAGGAGTTTGTTGCAGAAAGCACCAGAGCTGCAGGAGGCTTCCCAACATTTTTTATCTTATCTTTGCACTCTGTGCTTTCCTTGTGCTGTGTTCCCTTCCTCCACTCACATCTGAACTCTGTCCATCGCACAAAATCTATCATAGTTTATTGATTTATTTCCTCACAGCGCAAAATTACAGCCTGGTCTGCCAGCTCAAGTTGTGTCAGATGTACTCCTAACTGTTTGGCTGTGGCAGGGGTGACTTAAAAAATGTTAATTGGAAATGAGAGGTTAAAATCAGCACAAAGTAGCAATTGTCATGAATGGTTCTTTTAAAATCCAAATGAGCCAAGAGGAGCCATCGTGCCAAGCAAAGCTGTACAGTGCTGTTACACCCTGTCAGTATTAGTTAATGAAACAAAAAGAGATATGAAATTGTAGTAATTCCAAGAAAAAACACCCTGAGACCAAGCTGTAACCCATGACCAAGCCTACAGATTGCAAAACAGTTGCTGTTCCTGCTGGCTGGTGCATCAAGCACTGTGAGGTCTCTGGCAGTAAGGGAATTCTCTGCTTGTGACACAGAGCTATTGCCTGGGTTTATATTTGCAGAGATTGTTATACTTCTGTCTTTCCTACTGTCCCTTTTCCTACTAATTCTGCTTTATGATGCAATATGGTGGCAATTTTGAAACTGGCCCACCATCCCATGGAGACTGGGAGAGTGTCCACCAGTATAACAGACTTGGACCATTAGTCCAGTCTAATTTTTAATCTTGTAAACAAAGCTGACTCAGCTGGAGATGTGGAAGAGCTAAAATATCCAAATCTAATGCAGCTGGGTGTTCAGTGCAAGAAAGGTCTCTCATGGCTTTAAAATGTGAGTCAGAGACTTCATCTACTGCTAATACTGCCCAATTAACCCCCATTCTGCTCACCTGTTTCCACCCCTAGATTATGGTTTAGCTCAATGATCTTTGCAGATGTATTAATGGTAGCAGGCTGTCCAGTGATACTCCAGCCTCAAATCTCAATATATTTCCAGAGAAAAAAAGAAAAGTTTTGAGGAAAGACAACTTTAATATCTTAAGCAGCATTTAGGTCTCTTTAGGAGTAATCAGCTCAGCTTTATAACTAGACAAAAATCAGATTGCTTTATCTGACAATGGTTGATGCATGACAAAATCTTTTCATGTACAAAAGTACTAAGTGAACATCAGGGAAAAAATACAGTATCTAGAAATGCTTGCCTTTGATGTGTATAATTTGACATGTGTAATTTTTCAGCCTAAATGTTGCTTCAACAGTCATTACAGCAACATTAAGGCACACATTCAACCAACATCTACTAAACCAGAATTTGGACATGCACCAAATAACACAAATCAAAGGATAACCTATTCATTTGTTTAACTATTTGTATATGTATATATAAGCATGTGCTTTCCCTTGGTTTGTATTTGTTAATGATTTAAAAATGGGAATGTTTTGCAAAGTGAATATTAACATGAATCCACAGATCAGTGTGAAGTGGGTGACCACAGGAAATAAAAGCCACCTCCCTAGACTTTGTAGATACTTTGATAATGTCCTCATGGACCTAATATAGCAAAATGGACAGTGAAACACAGTAGGGACAGATAAATTGTGAAGGAACAGTTGTTAGAATAACAACTTCTAGCTTTCTGTTTTGAAAAAACTTTGTAGAGGTTTCATGGGGTATCATTCTTCTACAGTCTTTGATTTTTCCTATTTGAATGTAGCTCAGGAATGCATATAGATCTACACAAAACAGCTGGGGAACAAACTGACTTTAGCAACATGGAGTTCAGCACAGCTGCAAAATGTACCATAAAGTAGGAAAGATTATTCATGAGGAGCTCGAAGCTACCAAGGTTGGTAGTACTGATTTTAAGCCTTTATAGCACATCTAGCAGATTTTGCAGTGCCCCATGGGTGCCCTAGGTGATCATTTGAACAACAAAACCCAAAGTTTCCCCCAAACTCCCCATCTGACATTTGCCCAAGCTCTTATGTTGGAATTGGTTTGCTTTTGGCTGTACTGTGGTGCAGGCCAGCAAACCTAACAGTCCACAGCTGTTTAAAATTATTGCTAGATCCCTATGAAGCAGATTGTTAAATATATTTAAGTATTGAAAAAATAATTTTAAAAACCATGAAATAATATGTAAAGAAACATATTCATATAGGTGAGAAACTGAATTAAAGACTTTCCACTCATCAAGACCTGCAAAAACAGCACATTGCTCACAGGTTCTACAGTATATGGAAGTCACGAAGCACATAAAAGCAGTGCAGAAACTTTCACATTTTAAGAGTCTGTTATGTCTTTGTTTAGCTAATATTATAGTACAACTAACCTCAAAGTGATCATAGTTCTCTTTTCATATATGATGCGCATTTTGTTATATGTCTTCACCAGCCTAGGAACTAGTGAAGATATTATATTTCACATGTTCAATGAAACAATTTTAGTTGGATTTCAATTATAATCAAACAAGAATACATTTTGTGAATATGCCTATTTTAGTATTTGGAATTCGGTCTTCCATCTCAGTGATCAGTATTTTATTTTAGTTTAAAATAGCTAAACAGAAGTTTAGTTATGCATAACTAAACTTTTGCATATAGTCTTTGTATATGCATAAATTCATCTAAGGAGCTCTGCAGTGTTGCTGTCTAAATGTTCAAAGGCCAGGATTCACCTCACATGACTTTTGACATTTGAAAGTTACATATCCAAGCATAATTTAGGTGATTCTATTACAGCTAGTGGAGAGAATATGGTGTATTTAGAAGATTTTATTTTACCTTTCCATTTTCCTACTTTGGGATTAGATTAATTCTATAGACATGGCTGTGATTATAAAAAGCATCAGTGTTGACTGAAGAAACTGAATGATAGATATCTAAGTTAGAATCGCTAAATCTCAGATGAATTACTGTCCCATGCTCTAAAGCCCAAAAAACAGAAAAAAGTTCAGCTCCAGGATTTGCATTCATCTGCTTTGTCAAGCTGTTCATTCACTATGATTGCTGTGATTACTGACTTCTTGAATGACTCATTCTCCAGTTTCCGACTGAGTGAAGCCAAAAGCAAACAATATTATGTTTAGAAAGAATTAAAAGGTTGTGTCCTACACTATTTTAAGACAGTTGTGGGGAAAAATTTCTTATCTGAGTTAAAATTTTGCCCACTCTGCTTTCATTGAGACCTTTAGTAGATATAAAGAAAATAAAAAGTAAACAAAAGAAGTGCAACATGCTATTTCAGAGTGTTATCTCATAATCACCAGTATTTACTGTTGCAGATAATGGTACATTAAAAAACCTGACCTGATTAACAAATAACCTTATTTCTGGCTGACTGTCACAGAAGTAATCAATCACTAACTTAGAAGTCTATTTTTGCGTGAATTTATGACTTTTTTGTCAGATTGTTGCCGAAAAGGGAACAATGTAGCAAATATCTAAATAACAATAACAATAATAACAACAATAATAATAATAATAGTGAAAGTTCTAGCAGTCATGTGATTAAGAATCTTACCTCTTGAACTCCTATAAATATAGAAGAGACTCACCAGTCTTCTAGAACTTACTGAATTCAGCCTCTATATTTGTAGAGAAAATGTAAAAAATCTTATTTGTAAAGATTTAAAAATAACTGGGCAAACAAATATAGTCTAAAATATAAATTATTTCAAAAGAATTAATTTTAAGGTTCATGTTCGAATTTTCATACCCAAACCCATACATTTTTTATGTTTAGATTGCCAGTTCTTTTAGTTTTGTTAGAGTGTGAAAGTTCCTATGCTTATTTTGTTTGGGTGGTAGAGTTATTTATTCTGGAGATGAAAAGCTGCATGAAGATTTAAATGGTCTATCTACTCAAACAAGCAGTTCAGCATTTAAGGATCATAATCAGTCTCATGAGAGCCAATCACAGAAACCTCTCTGATTTCATGGTTCAGGACCACACCACTCAGCAACAGTTGTTGAGGTGGATGTACCGACAGAAGTAGCTGTACATTTTCATATCAATTCGCAAGAAAACTTGGAAAAAAACCCTTACAGCCTCCCCTGATACTCATTTAAGGGTGGCAGTCAGCAGAAAGTGGTTAAACTTACTTTGGAAGCTATAAGATAGAGGGCACTTCTTTTCCCCTACTTCATTACTAAGAACAAAACATGTACATTACCAGACTTTAAAGCCTTAACAAAAACTCTAGATTTTTAAAAAGGAATAGTTTTTCTAGGCAATTCAGAAGCATTGTTTTGTTGCAACATGTCTGCAAGATGATTGTAATTGTCTTTCATTCTGTCGTACCTTTCCCCTCTCTCCCCTCTCTCTCTTCTACCCTGTTTTACTTCTCTTCCTGCTCTCTGGTTTACCCTTTTAGCAGTACAAGATCAAGACAAGCTACAAGGCATTTGCAGCAATCCCTACAAACACATTGCTTATGGAACAGAAGGTTAGTGTTTGCTCAAAGACTTGGGCACTGCATTGTACATTTGAGACCATTCAACTTGGTGTACAAATTCGGACATGTCTGTTGGGGAATACTGCAGAATGTGAATTCTGGGAACTAACTACTCAGGATTGTAATTCCAGCCATTTTATAGGGTCATCCACTTTCACTGAAGATCCAAGTTCCAGTAATCTGAATTTCTGAAAAGCTATTTACTATAAAAAAGGAAAAAAAAATCCACTGTCCTAAAGGAATTGCCTTTTATCGCAACATCTCAAAATCTGTTTTGTTTTTGGAAAGTGTCTGAAGCACTGCTGTTCTGGGACCTGAAAATCAGTAGATCTTGGTCAGGTAATGATTATTGGACAGCTGTGCTTATACCCATAAATTTAACAACCAAAAATATGATATTTTGACCTGCTGTTTTGTTAAACGGAGAACCATCCTGGCCATTGTTCTGACCTCTGTTAGCTTCCATTCTTCCTGAACACTGTGAGAGCTAGTGGGCCATTCTCAGTTTGTAGTTTATGCGAGCAATCATTTTCTGTAGGACAGGCAGATAGATTCAAACCCCAGACTTCAGTGCGTTGGTTTACCTCCAAAGTCACAGTCAACAAAGGCAGGGCTATATGGTCTTATTCAGACAATTCAACTTGAAAAGTCAATTGAAAATTTAAGCTTTGCATTAAGAGTTCAAAATACCCACAGACATTTATTTTGAAAACATTTTTCCCAAATTAATTTACTCAAAAGAATAGTTAAGTTTAAGAAAAGTTTTCTCTGATGATCAATGAGCTAAGCGTCTTGCATGTTTAAAGACATGCTTAATCATGGTGACATTCAGTTTGTAACTTTTCAGAAAAAGCTTTCTGTTCAGGACCTAGTTGAGGAATTTCTCCTCAGATTAATTTCTTTAAGCATTCCTGACTACACATCTAAATATTTATACACATATACAGCTCAGTTGATTTCACTAGTAGTTTGCAAAGCCTGAAGTTATTGGTTAGGGTGAACTTAACTATACAATATTTGAAGATGATAATTTTTTCTTGAAATGTTACTGATTATGATCTAATAATGATCAGTTAAGTGCTATAAATCAGATTATTTTTCAGAAAAAAAAGATGTATTCTTTTCCAATATTCTTTTAATCTTGAAGGATTTTCTTAATCTTTTGCATAAAACCTGATCCTTCCCTTACTTAAATCTTGAATGCACTAATGAAGGTTATGTTTGCTTTAGCTTGCAATGTGGTGCAATAGAAATGGCTCTCTAAAGGAAAATAGCTGATGCAGGAGATTCTACACCCCTTCAGAATGTATTTTGGGAGGGTTTTGTTTGAGCAGAAAGCCTGTTAGTGGGTGGAAGAATTTGGTCGACTCCTGAAGTACCACTTCATGGTTGACTTCACCTGAAAGGCACTGTCTGTGCACTCTGAGACTGCACCACCCTGCAACCCAAGCCAGGTAGGTGACCTTGAGCAGGACACTCACTCTAAGATCACACTCCTGATGTGAACCGGTGGGTTTATGTCAGCTCTCCGATTGCACTTTTTCATAAGAAAATGGATTTCCTTTTGACAGTCCTGCTGGCGCTGTCTTGGGCATTGACTCACAACCTGCATGTTACTTATCCCCAATACGTGAAACTGATTTGTGCAATCTAATGCCAGCACCTGTGGAAAAAGTAATGACTCAAAAGATATCTGTGTTTAGATAGACTTTTAGTCATCCATGGATTTACTGAAAATTGTAGCCTTGGTGTGCCCTTCAGTAGTGAGAGCAGTCATGTAATACTAATAAGAAATCAATTCTCTGTTATAGGATTTGCCTTCAGGAGAGACTCCTGACTAAGTAACTTTGTAAGTGTGTGTTTATGTTTCAGCATTGCCTGAGAACATGCTTTGTCTCATCTGGGGAGTTATGGATAACAGTCTCCTATTGATCTGCAGCAGCAGCTAATTGTAGTGCTCCTAAGCTGGTGCTGTTGTGTCAGCTGATGAGAGTTTAGAGTATGACTCCTATGAGAAAGCATGAAGAAATCACATGGCACACTCGGGCCCCATTGTACCAAGTCTTAATATCCAAATATTCTTCTCAAAATGTTGGGTAGGGAACTCATGATATGTTCTAGCTCAGCGAGAGTAGTTATGTTGTTCCCATTTTATGCAAAGCATTTTATACGCAGCATTTAAAAGAGTGAGATTTAGGACAGTAAGATTTTAACTACATAAGTGATATTTTATTAACATCTAATTATTATTATATGATTAGAAAACCAACATAATTTTAGATATATTTTTTAGCCTAAGGTGCTAAATTAGTGTTTTGCTATGTGATTAAATTAGAAATGCATGTTATCAGAAGTAGGCTTTTTCCCACTGTGTGAGTAATTATGTTATTTAATTTAAGTGGTCATGAGAAATAAAATTCGTAAGAATTGTGTTGTGGGTGATCCTAGTAACAATTCATCTGCAGTATTAATTGGGTCCCATGACAGAAAACTGCTCCTCATGGGCCATGTAAGATGCAATGATTTGACTGCCTCTGAATTTTCTGTTGATGTCTAACTTTCTTTGTCAAGTTTCTTTTCTGTTTGTGTAGATGTTTTAATTTAAACTGGCATTTTTCAACTTTAATTTAAACTAGCATTTTTCAACCTCTGCTAATGAAACCATTAGGCTGTCATCACATTAATGTTTTTTTTAGAACATGCTCTTATCCTCCAATACTCTTACTCAAAGAGAGTTGTTTGAGTACGTGCCCGTTAGTTGAGAAGAAAAGGCTGATTGGCTCTATATGTGTATACTTTGAGAAACCCAGAAGTGGCTTAACCTCATCAAGTCTCCTCGCTGGCAAGTTTCCCAGCTTTTGAGTTTGTATGAACCTGATGTTTCTCACATAATTTCTGTTCTCTGCTCAGAAAAAGCGCAATCCAGGATATCTCGTGGAAGATTGGGCTGTAACTTCCTTCACAGCCAGAAAAACAAGACTTGTTTTTAGGGGACTTGCCCTCAGCATGGTCAGGCTCTGTCAGGGAGCAGCAAAAGGGGCCTGCTCCTCAGGGAGCTGAGCTGGCTGCAAGGACGTCAGGACAATGTCCTCACCAGGACGGGCACAGCTCCACAGTGCCTGAGCAGGGATGGCAGAAATGCTGACAATGAGCTGGTGATACCCAGAGTCACTCAGCAGTGCCATCACAGCCACACAAATCCAGAGCTTTGAGTCAGACCACAGACTGTGACACTGAGCTCTTCAGCCCAGCAGATCATAGGATCCACTGGCCAGAAGAGGAAGCTGCACAAATTTAAAATAGGCATAAGGCTGTCAAAAATTTGACAGAAAGAATTAATTAGCTATTAGAAAAAATTGCTGGAGACTGAAATAGGCTTTTTATCACAAAAATTGAAAAATCAAGACAGGACAATTTTCTGGATTCTCATATTTCAGATAGTCCTGCGGTTTAAAGACGTCATACTAGGTGAGCATTGTCATTCCTTCTGGCCTTATTAACACTGAAACAGTGAGTCACACTTCTACAGAAACTCACTCTTGTATAAGTTCTACAATTATATGGATGTGGACACAGTCTAATTCAGAATTCCCTTCTGAATTGGGTATGATTTAAAAAGTAATGTGTCTGGTAATTTGAGGTTGTATTTATCAAGTATCAACTACAATGTCTTTCAGTCAAAATGGATAGATGAAGAATTTATTTCCAGGTGCTACAGCAAAATTCATAACTTTAAATACCTCGTGTTAAGAAAGAAAGGCAATAATTTGTGCAGTTGTAGAGTGATAAAGGGCCTTGTTTGTCTGCAATAATAACCAAATGTGCTAATATAGGAACAGCCTCTGAACTCCTTCTTTCTTTCTTTCAAGGGCCTTGAAAATAGTGTCTTAAAACAACTACAACTTCATCTTTAGGATTATGTAGAATTTTTTATGTAACCCAAAAACTGTTGTAGGCTTTGGATTTACAAATCAAAAAAATTATTCTCTTAACAGTTCAGTCTTCTTTGGTCTACAGCAAGCTCTATGCAGGTGAATATGGGTTTTTTGTATTTGTCCAGCCACACATCCCCTCTACATACTGATTGGTGTGAATTTCTCTTGTCTGAGCATCTTTTTGGTGGAAAGGAAACATCAGGGGCTTATCCCACACTACTTCTATCCCACACGTCTTCTGAAAAACACTAGGTAGGACTGGCTGTGGATGGAAGGGGTGCAAGTGTTGTCTCATTTGGATTCTGTTTATCAACTGATGACAAACAGACAGCAATAATTTCAATTCTAAGTAAACATAGAAAAAGTAAAACAGTCTTTCCATATTTTGTTACACTTCTTGGAAAACTTCAAAGATCTGGTAATTGCATCACCTGCAGAAACGGACTAAAGGCAGTACAGCATATTCTCTTTGTGGAAGAAAAAAATAGAAAAAGGTATTTTCCTCTGCATGCAGAAGGAAAAAAAAGAGGGTATGTTGGTTGAGTTTTTTTTATTCTTAGATGTTTTTTTTTAAAGTGAAAAGGAAGAAATGCAACTGAGGAAGCATGGCAGCATTCAGCTGCATTGAAGACCCAGCTTTAAGTTCTTGCCTTTAGGAAGCTCTTAGTTATTGTATTATCAAAAATCCATTGCTATAGGAACTGATCATAGCAAATGCTATGGTTTCTCCTTGAAATCATACAGGTTTCTCCTTGAAATCATATAGCAGGAGCCTGGAGGACAATTTTTCTCACTCAGATTATTGACCTAACTGCTGGACAAGTGGCTATTATGAAGCATGTCAGAACTTTCTGGACCTTGAAAGCATTTCTGACAAGACTTTGCTGAGAATATTTTAATAAAAATAGGTTTTCCCCAAATATTTCTGGTGTGCACTTACTAGGTGAATTTCTTGCATCCAGATTATGTGTTCACATCAAAGTGTTTCTCAAGGCTAGAGACAAATACCTCGTGGTAAGAAAGAAAGGCAATAATTTGTGCAATTGTAGGACTAAATAAAAGACCTAGTTTGTCTGAAATAATAATCAAATGTGCCAATGTAGGAGCAGCCTTTGAGCTCACTCATTTTTCATGGGCCTTGCAGTTTTCAATATTAATTATTTTGTGGGACAGAAAATAGTAGGTATAATTTCAGTAAAATTTTCAGTGTAGTCCCCCAGAATCTTCAAGAGAGAAGTTAAAGGAAATAATGGTATGTGAAGTTCCATTGTATGGTGGGATTTTTTCACACTGAGGGCTTGGGAAAAGATAGAGATGGGGAAAATATGCTCAGTCCAGGGTTTTCAGAATACAGTAAGAGGAAAGCTATGTCAGATCTAGGTCACAAAATTAATTTCTTTTTATTGATGTGGTCCATTGGTGGATGAAGTTATTTTCTATATATCCTATATATTGCCTGGACTTTTCAGTCTTCTAATGAAATACTAGGTATTGTGTTTGGGTCATTTACTAGTGTCCTTTCAGCTCCGATACAGTTTTAGCAATCAAAAAGGAAGAAAGAGGAAGGAAGGGTTGTAGTCATCAGTGATGTCAATGGCACAAATGCATCACACCCCCAAAATTGCCCTTTTCAAGGAAAAAAAACAGTGGTTCAGCAACTGGTTATTTCATTTAAATTGCTTTACATTTTCATTATCTAAATTATGATGTTCTTTTAAATTTTGGTACCACTGTTGTTTCATATATAATCAAAAATTTGAATGTCTAAACAAGAATGTTCCACTTCTAATATTGTTAGGCCATCAGCATAGGAAGTGAATCTTGAGTACTGTTGATAGTGCTAATCAGCAGCATGTAGATAGAAATTAATCATAACATTTTTGCATGATGACACCAGTAATTTTGAAAATGTAGTTGTACATTTTTATCTCTTTTTTTTTCTATGTGGAAATGTGAAAGAAGGCATGCTGGGAAAAAATGAGATGTGTTTTGAAAAGCTAACAACAGATCAAAGAACCATTTATCTTAGTAGAGGTGGTAGGGATAGTTAGAGAGAGTATAATTTCCTGTTTCTACTCTTTGGAAAAATCAGCTGTTCAAATAAGAAAAAAATGAAAAATAGGAAAAAGAGAGAAAGAAAAAGAGAGAAAGAGAGAGAGAAAGAGAGAGAGAGAGAGAGAGAGAGAAATACAGAAAGAAAGAAAGAAAGAAAGAAAGAGGTGAAATATTGAATGAAATTAGATTAATTGGTTTGAAGATTAAAATTTTCTTTTCCCAAAGTACAGTAACGGAGAACACTGCAGCTTTTTCTAGCGTGGCTCCTGCATGATGGCTGTATCTCAGGGGGACTGTGGAGAGCACAGACCTTGGTGCTGTGCTCACCTGCCTTCCTTAGTCACTGAAGGCTCCAAAATGGAAAGATATTTGGGGACTCAGCTTCTGAAATGAATAGATTCTTAAATTAGCCATCTTGGCTCTGAGCAGAGACTTCTGGATGTAGCTGTAATTTCTCTGGAAAGATTCCCCCAAATCTTCTGGGTAGATGTTTCATACCCTTGATTTTGTTCACCCACTATTCTAGTGAAGTGAATATGAAACAGCAACTGTATTTTTTTTCTTAACAATCCCTTTATTATGTTTATTATCTTACTGGTTTGTTGGGGGTTTTGAGAAGCTTAGATAATTCCCCATTCCAAATCCATGATTGATTAAAAGTTTTTCCTAACTCACATTCAAACTCATCATCCCTCTATATCAGGCTGTTTTGTCAACCCTGACCCTAAAAGGTACTGAAATGACTCTTCTACTTAATTTTGTTGCTTATTGAAATCAGAGGCACTGTATTTGAGTGCAGGACTGAGCTCTCTTTGGCTGAGTCCTCTTCTTCAACAGGACTGTCTTTCTTTTTGAAACTCTAACTGGATGACAATGATGAGACTTCAGAGATAAGAAAGGCTATTTATCTTTTCTTGGTCTGTCTTGGGATAAGATTACATTAATTTCTGTATATCAAAGTGAATCACTTTTACTTTTCACCTTTTGAACTGAAACTACTCTAAGGCCAACACATTTGTCATTTGTCAAGAGATAGAGAGAAAGGAAGAAATGTTTGGAAAGCAATCACTTTTAATTTTAGTAGAAGACATGGTGTTCCATGAATGTGCTTTTGTGCGAGATCATTTGTGGGTGGTATTATAATAATATGAAAAGTAAATTGTCACTAACTTTTCGCTTAGGTGTACACACATGCATGCTGCCAGTAGCTGGACAAGGAAAGAAATAAAATGTAGTCAGAAAAGTAAAACTCAGAAATAAGTGTGCTTCTTTTCTTTTTTATTTTTTAAATATTTTGACATTTCCATCGCAGGCCCACATACATCTCCTGTATTTGGCAGCCCTCACACCCACCTCAGTGGCACCAGCCCATGCACACAGAATCCCACATGCATGAAAAAGGGCTGAACTGGAATGCTCTTTTTACTCTTATACTTAAAAAAAAAATTAACAAAATGAAACCTTACAAAAACATAATGTGTTAAACAAAAAACTCCGCAAACCCTGCGGTTCCCTTCCCTGTAGTACAGCTTCAGCAGACACATCAGCAGGCTTCCTGAGTAATTTTTGGTCTCAGCACGGTGTCTATTTGAAAATCACTTCAAAGCAAAAATGGGTGATGGCAGGAAGAATGTGCTTCACAGATGCTGGATGAAGATGAAAAGGGAACTGAGCAGTGGATTTTGGCTTTTGAGGGTGTTTTGTGACCCTTATAAAGTGAAGGGATTGGCAAACTGATTTCCACTGTTCTCAGACCTGCTCCAAGTACCGGTATAGGGAAGTGAGCGGTATAGCCAAACACAGAAGCTTGTGTTTTGTTTGGAGAGATTGCATATGTGCTTATTGTGAGATCACAAATACAGTATGGAACATATTTTGCTCCATACATTTCTGATTTCAGGCTAAAACCCAAGAAGGCGAACACTATTTCTGTTGCAAGGTGACACCACCATCCTCTTTAAACAGGAGACACTTTTCACAGAAAACATCTACTGAAGGAAAGAAAAAGGCCTCCTGTGTGTTTGGGTCCCTGACTTGTCCATCTGCTCACAGGTGGTGGCTCTCTGTTGACACACAGCAGGCAGCCCCCAACACCTCTGTGGCATACAGTGCACACTCACTGTGGCACATTTACTGTGAAGGAGGTGGCATTATTGAAGGAGAAGACAATTGGAACTGGTAGTTTCTGATTTTCCAAAAGTAGAGATGATTCATCCTGCTTGAATACTCTCCTCTCTGTAAATCCATACCCATACCACTCTGAATCAGGTTTTGGGAACCTAAAGAACATCACCAGGCCTGTAGTTTCTTTCTTTTTCATCTTTCAATGGTGAAAGAGAAAGTGCCGCCTTTGGAAACAGAGTATTTGAAAAAGTGTATGTTTCTTTGGTTTTCAAAATTTTCAACTCAGTATCACACCAATATCTCTTGAATTGCAGGCATTAGAAGAGCCAACCAAGCCTGCTGGTGCGACTGAAGGCACTGCTTTGGACACTCATTCAGAGGTAGTGTGTTATTTATCTTTCAGATCTACATTTGAAACCAAAAAGCAAAGTTTAACTGAGTGATCCATCCTCCCTTTTCAGATGTGCTCCCCTTCCCAGCTCAGACAACAAACAGAAGAATTGTGTGCTGTCATTGATCAAGTCCTGCAGGACCCCTTGACTATGGTAACCCATCAGTATGTGGAATGGACTTATTATCTCCTTTCCCTTTTGTCTTCTGTCATTAACATGTCTATTCTCTGTTGAAAATAATCTTCCAGCGCCGGTGTGAGTCTTCTCCAAGTTTTCTGCAGATGAGCACAGAGTCAGATGTTGGCAAGGTAGGTGGATAAGTCCATGTCCACAGCAAGGGCTCTTTTCAAGTAACTAATAAAGGCAGGCAAATTCAGTACGCAGTAGGGACAGCTGTGACAGTAAAACCAATGGCAACTCAGAGCTGCAGCTGAGAAATGCAAAATCAAAAGTGTTTGGTGGCTAAAACAGCATGGAAAGACAGAACTGTAGCCCTGGAGCCTGTGCAGTCTTTGCTGCAGGATGCTTTCCTGAAGTCAGAAGGAGATATATTATGAAAGAGAGTGTTTTAAGGCTTCAGAGGCTAAAAATCTCTCATACTTGCCTGCCATAGGGCAGGATCTCTGGCCTTCTCCCAGACTTCATCCCATCCACATGTTGTTACTACAAAGCAACCGATGTTTCTAGCTTTGGTGGCTGGAAGCATCTTTCAGAACATAGGGGTTTTTCAAGTTCATTATTTATTTTAAAATAATGGGAGTATTAAATTAATAGTTGGACTAGTTCTGAAGTTCTGATTTCATTTTAAGTCTCACCACTCCTAGAAGGAGGATGTCTGCAATATCTCTTTCTCCTGGATGACTAAGAAATAGGTAGTGAGAGGGAGGGTTAATTTTCTACTTCTAAACTTCTGGTTTCATTAAGTTATACTGATGTGCCTTCTGGGTTCAGAAGGATGGCTAACCAAGGGAAGAAGGTCTTATATTCAGTTTGCTCCAGGTAAATTAAAGTTACTCACTATATGAAAGTGAAAATGGCAGAAATGCAACTAAAAATGGCAGGAAAGGAATTTCTGGCAGATGAACACATACAAAAGTTAATCCATTCAAAATATCCTGCTGAATGTTCAGTCCACCATGCAAGAATAGGGCACAGGTCCAGCATTTCTCAGTGGCAATATTGAATATGCAATTCAAATTTAATTTCTGTTTTTGAAAGTATTTCTGTCAATCAGCATGCAGGGGTGAATTGGACTCCAAGAGGCTGAAAGACAGAAATGTGATAGCAGGAGAAGGATGGGCAGACAGTGTAATGGAATGTATTTTCCAATGCCTGAAGAATCTGGAGTGGTTAAAATGCTGCTACCAAGCTGAGTTAGAGTATCCAAAAACCACTTCCTTGGGCAATTGAGAATGGAAGGCATCTTTTAGCAGTCATGAAATCAAATAAATGCAGCATAGGGACAAAGCTAAAAGTGTTGAGGATCTCAGAATGAGTTGAAAAAGTGCTTAACAGAGGGTAAAAGAAGGTCATAGACATGGAAGAAAAAAAAGAGCTGACATGCCTTAGAATTGTTATGGATTAGTCAAATTAAAGCAAATTCTTGCAAATGAAAGCATGGAGATGTAATATTTTGTATTCTGTGAGCAAATGTAACTTCAATTTCATGGGGCAATGATACTTATGGCTATCTAATAATAAGCATTTTGTTATGAGAGTTCTCATATTAAATGCCAACCTCAATAGAGCAGGATCAATGTTTTTGAGCAGTAAAATTAAGTAGTATTTTCTATAATAAGCATACAAGCAAAGCTTAAATATGCCTTAGTCTCATGTATGGTGTGAATATTTCTGGCAAAATTAAGTTTTCCTGAATTTGAGCAATTAATAAAGTCTCAGAATGTTGAAAATCTCTTGGAGTTACTGTTCAGAGTAACTCAATATATTGATTATATATCTGTTTGTTTTTTTACAAGATGTCAGCAACACTGCAGAGAGCAGCTGGGCGTGAAACCAGATATGTAAGTACTTTTACCATTGCTCTCTGTTTTGCATGCAAAAATGCTTACTTTATCTGCTCCTAAACAATCCTGGGTGAGTCTGAACAAGCACCTGCTTCTGATCTCAGATGTTGACTAGAATAGACAAGCAAATATATTACAGTGCTGGCATTTGAGACTTGAAGTGTCTTCTCACTGTAGGAAATCCATCCCAGCTGGAGTCTCTCTTCACTGCTGTGTCTGTTGATAATTTTACCTGTGTAAATATGATGTTAAAATTAACCTCCTCACACACTTTGTTGTTGTTTCCTTCAAGTCTGGGGCAAGAGTTCAGCTGTTTGGTAAACAGGCTGTTTGTTATGGGTGCTGAAGGGTGCATTTCTCTGGACTCAGCCTGCACTGTAGGGGACTTGCTTTGGTAGAAGTCTTGTAGCTCTTGCTTATCCTTCAGAATCTGGGATTGATCCAAACTTTTCTTTCCAAGATACAGAGCTGGCTGAAAACCCACGGTTTAGATGGATTGAAGCTGTTTTGTCACATACCAACATATGTTGAAAATATCTATATTGAGTCATTTGTTCAATTATTGAAACATTAAACCCAATTAACATAATAATTCTCTCTAGTGTACACACTTACTGCAGGTTCCACATTTTACTTGCAACTCATTTAGTCATGTGGTGAGAAATCTCAGCTTCCTATTGATCATTCAGCATTTCTATTGAATCTCAAATCAAAGCAGTAATGGCAAAGCAACAGAGCTCTCCCAGTTTTATGCCAGCACAGTGCTTGACTGATCAATTCAATTTTGCTTCCTGAATGTGGCAGTATGCATATTTTATTGCATACTGTGATTTTTGCTTGACAGATTGTGCTGGCTCATACTAATTAGGAAGAATATCAGAGGAGAGCTTTTTAATGAAATACAAGAGTGTACTTCAGAGGTAGTCTTTGAGAACAGAGTGTATTTAATAACACTCCGATGCAAATCTCCAGCTCCCAAAACTGAAATATGGACATATACCATAATTTCAGGCATCCAGCTTAGGGAAGCCTAGGGATGACATGGAAAATCACCCTTACAAACACTTTTTTTTCTGTTTCCACCAGAACTTTCTAGATGAATGAAACAAAGCAATAGTTATAAATGTGTTTGAGGATAACACAGAGGTTTATTGGAAGGCCGATCTTTCCTATAAATTGTACAGGTGTGTTGAATTTTTTGTGTGCCAGGAGACAGACTGGGGTCCCCAGGCTGGGCTGTGGTGCCTGAACTTGATGGGTCCAGGCTCTCCTGTCCTCTGCCATTGCTGTACTCTGCAGTAATCTCCTGAGGGGTATATCAGGTGTCTTTAATAGCATAGGTGCATCACAGCTCTTTCCTCCTCTCTCACTCTGCTTCCTTAGTAGGATGTAAAAAGGCTATTTCTGCCCCAGTTAATAATCCAGGAGGTGGTTTGTCCTCTGGCCATTAGAGAAAGGACACACAGAAATGGTTTTCCATAGAGTTATCTTATTTTTGTATTTACAATATCTAATATTGAGATGCTTGTCAAAATGTTGCTTGGAAGGCATTTTTGGTTAAAAGAGGAGCTTAAATTTGTTTATGAGTAATGATTAAGTGTTATTTATAACCACCACATGTAAAGGTATATGTATGCATACATGGTAATATTTCTAATTACTTCAATAGGTTATAAAAAATATAAATGTATGTTGAAATAGCCTGCCGTTTAACAATTAAAATGTCATAGATTTGCCTTGGCCTCAGCTACCTTTTATATTCTCATGAACTTCAGAACCTTTCAAGGATGTAAATGATTGTACAAAGAGCAAGTGAGTGTATAACTAAGTACCACAGTTGTAATTTAATGACATTTAAAACTGTATGGTGTTTGATATGATTCTATTCACCATTTAATAATTATGCGTATCTGTTGGCTTTAGGGATGATACTGCTGATTTTTAATAATAATACAATTATTCTCTAGATAGGAATTTCTCATGATTAACTGGATATTACTGACATGTATGCTTAAGCAGGATTGTTCTGGTTCTCCTACTATAAAGTGAGAAAAGGTTGAGAAGGTACTCAACCCAGTACTAATGTTTAAAACATTGATGCTGCAAATTAACAGACAATGGCAGGCTCAGAAAAATAAGATTTAAATTTCAAGATTAGATCAAGATGAAAAACAGAAATTTTGTTGCACTTGGAAAAAAGAATTCCTAAAATCTTAACAGGCATTTGACTATATCTAGAAATAAACTGGAAATGAGATTGTTTTATATTCTTTCATACCACTGTGTCATTGGGAGAACCTTCTCTAGCTAAGTTAAGCCTAGTGCTGTTCCTGAATTTTTTTCTGTCATCATTGTAATCACAAAGATATTGCATGTAATACTGTATATTTTCATCTTTTTTTGCAGGCCAACCTTTACAAATCAGTGCCTATAGTAACTGAGAGTCAGCTGGTATGTAGAGCACAGCTGTGATACACTGTTTTCAAAACTTGCACAAGATAAAATTTTATTAATTATTTGCTTTCTTAGTCCTTTGAAAAAAACTCCAGTCAATATCTTTTTACAAAGCTGCATGGCTTCTACAGAGCTGTATTGTTGTTTTTTTTTTTTTTTCTGTGCTGAATTACACACCCATTTCAAGTATCTGTAAATCCTGACACTACTTGTAAACCCATGGGCCAAATGCCAAACTACAGAGTCATCCTGGATCTTGAGGTGCATGACAGCAGTAGAGTCAGCTGCTGCTTCTTGAACTCTTTTAATATTCCACTTGTGCAGTTTTGTTTAAATGCGAAATGATTCTACCATCTGTTTTCTTCTTACACTCTATTTTACATCAAAGCTGCTTTAATGAGTGAAAAGCAAGGGTAAGATCAAGTAATAAAGGGAAATTATGTATCAGATGTTCATTTAAGCTCTGATCACAATTTCATCTTGTTGGAGACAAAATTTCTGAAGAAGAGTCAGAAGAGAAATCATGGAGCCTGTCCAAGTGACAGTGATCATTAATGGATGCTTAGGGAAAAAAGGAGATGTGGATGAGAATTTTTTCCCTTGTATTTTAAATAATGGAATCCTAGAGACTTCCTGAATCAATTTCTTTTCCTATCAATCTTTGACTAAATCTGTTTTCATGATTTTTCCAGTTACTTTTTGAATTTTGTTATATTTTGATCTTTATAACATTCTCTAGCAGCAGACTTTACTTTAAATTGTCCATGATGCAAAATAGTACTTTAGTCCTTTGTTTTAAGCCTATGATTTGACCTCAGTTCTTGTACTGAAATAGCATATAATTTTTCTTACTTTGCTTTCTAAATAATATAAGATTTTCTAGATATTGCAATAATATCTAGACCTAGCACTACCATTCATGTCTGTTTCATGTAGAAAATTAAAAATTGCATTTTCACTCTTTGAAAAGTATGGATACTATCCCAAATCACTGATGATCCTCCTTGCCCTTCTCTATATCTTTTTCAGATATTTGTTTTTGAGATTGGGAGACTAAAACCATAAACTGTTCTTATATAGCTCTGAATACAGAACTTTCTATTTACATGAGGATGTAATAAGGTCCTTTATTGCTGTTTCTATTCCTTTCTTAATGATTTATAGTTCTTTATTTAGTTCTTCCTACTTGCATTGAGCAGCAATCCAATGTTTGCAAAGAACTATACACAATAAAGTCAAGATATATTTCTTGAGTAGTGAGAGCTGGTTTCTCAGCTAATTAGCTTATTGGTGCATGAGCATGAGGAAATTTGGGATGTAGTTTAGCTTTTTGCTGTGAAATGTGTCAATGCTGAATTCAGTTATGTTTCACCTGCCTTTTATTATTCATTTACTCTGTATTTTAGGATCTCTCTGTAAGTTTTTGCGCCAATATTTTTAGTCCTCTAATCAGTATTACCACCAAACTTTGTCACCTTACCAGACAATCTTTTCTGTCTGATCTGCATCCATAATTCAAAGCCCAGATTCCCAAGCAGATTTCTCAGGAACTCCATGACTTGTTCCAACCCTGGTGCTGGGGACAGGGACACCTTTGACTACACCACATTGCTCAGAGCTCCATCCAACCTGACGAGGGCTGGGGCATCCACAACTTCTCTGGGCAACCTGTTCCAGTGCCTCACCACTCTCACAGTAAATAATTTCTTCCTAATATGTAATCTAAACCTGCCCTCTTTCTGTTTCAAGCAAATCTCCCTTGTTCTGTCACTGATGGAATGGGGTTGCAACTGGGACCTGACCCACCAGTTTCAGCAAGATCTCAGGGGCAGCCAGGGTCATAATAACAGGGGAGAAAATTAGAGGTGAACCTGCCCATACCTCTGCCAACATTCAGTCTTCTCATTTTTTGGACAGATACTATGCAAGGCTCATTTTCATGCAAAATACCTTCAGTTCCTGGGGGAGGGTGGCCCTGTCCATGCTGCCCATAGAGAGGCACCCCAGACCAGCCTGTAGATTATTTCTATTTGTGCGTTTGCTGACCTGGGCCAAACCCATGCCAGAGAATGCCCTGGCACTGGGTCAATATCAATGATTATGGGTCAGTTCTGGAACTTGTGCTTTGGCCCTGTGTAATTTGCTGAAAGTTCTGTGCACATATGATGGCAGCCCAGTGCTACCACGACAGCCTTTACCATTTTTTCATGTTGTTGTAGGAAGACCAACAGTTTCCTTGGAAAAACTTAGTCTTAAATTGTTTCTCAGCATGTCAGCTGTGACATTTGTCATCAAAGAAAGAGTTCAAGTTCTTAGTTTTGGATCAAAGATTTTATGTAGTTTGTCAGAGTGCTAATAAAGTGTTTAGAATTCTGGCTGCTGGCTGATATCTGTCACTGTTAGCAGAGTCAGACATAAACATATGACTCAGTCAGCATTTGAGTACATGATGTTGTTTAGAAAATGCTTCCTTAAAAGCATTTCTACGGCATGCATTTGGAAGAGGTTTCTTACATAAGGAGAGTAGCTTATCCTTGATGATTTCAGGTACCACAATGGGCTTTTGATTGCATGGTTACATGGTGTGGAGGAGTGTCAGAAGACCACATGTCCTTTGTCTGCATAATAATGACTTGATAGCAACTGCACCTTTCTTATTAAATTTACTTTATTTTGAAATCCAGACATTTTACAGATGCTTTTCAGAAATATTGATAGAAAAATAAGCATCTTTTGGTGAATCCTACAAAGATATAGTCATGAAATATGGACTAGAAATTCATTAAATAAGCACTGCATCATTGAAAAAGTTGATCTTTGTAATGAAAATGTTTTTGATCCAGCTTGACAGTTACTACTCTTTAAAAAAAATTAATATCACTGCATGGCTGATTTTTTGCTTTCAGTTGAATATTTTTCTTGCTTGATGAGACAAATGAAAGGGCCCCAATCTGTGGAGAGGACGGAGAGTAGAAAACACAAATCTAAGAGAAGATATTTTGCTCCCTGGGCCTTGCTCTGCCCAGGAGTGTTGTGCTCATGCCTGCCTCTGCTGCCTTCACCTCAGAGCCTGGGCTGAGCTCTGTCCTTTCCCAGGGCAGAAGCAGAGCACAAAACACCCTCTGCACCCTCCCCTCAATGGACATTGCTGGATGCCTGCAGATCCTGTTTTAAGGGGATCCATAACTCAGTTTACACACTACATCCAGCAATCTCAGCTGAATCATTTTAAGCTTACTTTCATAGTAAACTTCTCTTTTTCTGGACTGACTGATGAAATGTATTGCTATTATAAATAGACAGCAGGGTGTTATTGAGTATACATATTTATTTTATAAATAAATCTAATAGTGGATCAAGTTTCTTCTCTGCATTTTTATACCCAGTTGGATACTGAGGATGGGGAGCTGTGACAACACTTATTTCTCAGTCCCAGCTGGGCAAGCTGCCTCTCTGTGGTGCAACCACAGAAGGAGCTCAGCAGCAGTCCTGTTGTTACTACCTTCATCAGTTGTGACAGAGACCACTTATTTTCTATGGGTTAGTCATAACAGAAGAGAATACAACTGACTCATTTAAAAGTTTAAATTCAGTCATGGATCTTGGAAGACTTGACTGCTTTTAAAATTCCAGTGAGAAAGTGTACTTTTTCTTCCTTTTTTGGCTCACTGAACCTGTTTATTTTAAAATTATCCCTTAGCCTCTGTTTAGAGTTTATGCCACAATCCATCTTGTCAGATTTTACAGTAAGAATTTAAAAAAAAATCACAGATATACTAAATTGAGACGGTAATAGTCAATTTTTTTGGTTCACTGGTTGACAACCAAGGAATTTTTTCTTGGTGAAATAATCCAATTTGTCTGAAATGATAGGTATCACATATCCATGCTGATCAGATCCTCTAAAAGTGTACTTTTCCAATTGAACTCTTAAAGATACTGTCACTGTCATTGAGATGAGTGGCTCCAGTGCTGGCATGATTGGCAGTGGAGCGCTGTAGTGGGGTGCAAGAGGGGCTTCCTGAGCCAGGGGAACCTCAGATGGAGCTGGAGAGAAGAACTGCTGGATGGCCAGGCTCAGAGAGTGGTGGGGAAGGGGGTTAAATCTGGCTGGTGGCCAGCCACAAGGGGTGTTCCCCAAGGCTCAGTATTGCAGCCTGTTCTGCTTAGTATCTTTATTGATGATCTGTGTGAGAGGATTTAATGTACCCTCAGCCAGTTTGCAAGTTGGGTGTTGATCTTCTGGGTAGGAGGGTTCTGTGCAGAGGGATCTGGACAGGCCGGGTAGATGGGCTGAGGCCAATTGTATGAGGTTCAACAAAGCCGAGTGCTGGGTCCTGCCCTTGGGGCACAACAGCCCCATGCAGAGCTACAGGCTGGGCCAGAGGGGCTGGAATGGGGCCCAGTGGAAAAGGACCTGGGGGTGCTGGTCAGCAGCAGCTCAGCATGAGTCAGTATGAGCCCAGGTGGCCAGGAAGGCCAGTGCCATCCTGGCCCATATCAGCAATAGCGTGGCCAGCAGGAGCAGGGCAGGGATTGTCCCCCTGTGCTCAGCACTGCTGGGGCCACACCTCCAGTGCTGGGTCCAGCTCTGGGCCCCTCACTGTGAGAAAGACACTGAGGGGCTGGAGTGAGTCCAGGGAAGGGCAGTGGGGCTGGGGCAGGGTCTGGAGCACAAGGGCTGTGAGGAGCAGCTGAGGGAGCTGGGGGTGTTTAGCCTGGAAAAAAGGAAGGTCAGGGGAGACTTTATCACTGTCTACAAGTGCCTGAAAGGAGGCTGTAGCAAGGTAGTTATAAGACAAGAGGAAATGGCCTCAAGTCATGCCAGGGAAGGTTTATACTGAACATTAGGGAAAGTTTCTTCAAGGCTGCACAGGGAATTGGTTGAATCATCATCCCTGGATGAATTTAAAAGATGTGTAGATGTGGCTCTTAGTGATATAGTTTATTGGTGGACTTGGCAGTGGTAGGTCATTGGTGGGACTTTATTATCTTAGAGGCCTTTTCCAATAAAAAAAATTATATTCTATGTGTGTATCATTTACAGTACCTGAAATAAATATCGTGTCTCCACTTTTGGTACTCTGTCTTAAAATTTCCTCTCATTGGACATAATATTCTGCAGGTATTTAAAAGATGTGTAGATGGAGTGCTCAGGTACATGGTTGACTCAACAATTGTAAGGGTCTTTTCCATCCTGTGATTCAGTGACTCTATGACTCTATAAAGTCCAGCACACAATCACTGGTATTATTCCCCAATAAGACTTTTCCTAACATGCTTCTACCTGGGTATAAGTTAACAGCATCTCAGGTTGTCCTTCCTTCCTTCCTTCACAGTTACTGTTTTGAGGAGCCCAGTGTAAAAGCATATGTGTGGCTGTGCATAAAGTGTGACTTGAACTAATCAAGCTGCAGCTGAACAGCCAGAAAAAAAACCAGCCAGCAAAACCCACAAACCATGGTCTGACAGCTCTGTAGCTATTTTTTGTCAGTCATAAACACATGCCAGTGATGAAGTTCTGTGCCTAAAAGCAGCTCTTGGAACTTTTCCCCACTATCTGTATTAGAAGTAGTCCAGGCAGCATGACGCCTGACTAATTTTGGTGGTGAAACACATCATTAAGAAAATTTGTTAAAATATACAGTACAGCCCCACCAGAATTGACTTGTCTAACAAATATTCTGTAAATGGTAAGGTGTTTTATGTGGTTCTTCTTCCATCTCTTTTCTCCTGGGTGTGCTATGGGTCAAGACAAAACCTGGTGTTATTCGTCCCGTGCTGGTGAAAGCAAAGAGCTCACAGCAAAAGGAGGAGCCCTATCAACCCAATCCTTTTAAAAAGTACCTTGAAGAAATCAGTGATCAAAATATTGAGCAGGTGAGTAGCTCTCACTCTGAAGGATTTTGTAGCCTTAGCTAATTTCCCTAAAGATGAAGGAATAAACATAGATCCTTGTTTTCTTGTTTTGCTCCTGTCTCTTCTTTTTTTTTTTTTTTTTTTGCAAAGTCAGATGATTCCCCAAGGGGCACCTGGCTCCCAAAGGAAAGTCTTCAAGCTGAGATGGGCAGCTGGGCTTTCTACAGGGTCATTTTGTTTGGTGATGTAAACACCTGTATGTTGAGGAGAGGAGCTTTTCATGATGTCTGTAAAAAAGAGAGAGACATTGTAGAAAAAAGAGGGTTGAAATCCTTCCTTTCCCTGTCAAACAGATATCTAGGTCATATCTACTAGAAAGTGCTTCCTTCATCTGGGGCCCAGACCTGAATCCTCTCTGAAGAAAATGATAGTGAGGACTGGACAAGGTTCACAACTTCCTCTCCAAGGCAGACTGAAGAGGAGCTCCAGTGTGTTTCTGTTTCACTTCCAGTGCATATCTCCTCCAGTCCATATCTCCCCCAGTCCATATATAGACCAGTCCATGTCTCCCCCAGTCCATTTCTCCCCCAGCTCCATGTCCATGTCCCTCCACAGACTGAGGGTACAGTTGTACCACATGTGGTACTGAGGCAGCAAAGATGCTGTCTTCTCCCACAGCCCTCTGCGTGATGCTGTGGGATCACTTTGCAAAAACACATCTTGGGCTGTGCTGACCTGTATGAGGCATTATCTCAGAGAATCTCCAGATAAATGTCTGTGACAGCCTTTCCTCATGCATTTGTGTTTGTGCCCATTATTGGGAAAAAAACTGTACATATGATGCACAATCTGAATGTCCCTGTAAGATTTTGTTATTAACCTATTATACCTATTAACCAGTATGTTCCAAATCTTCCATCTGGAGGGAAGTAAAATGAAGCCAATAGTCCTCTTGTCAGACACAATGTGAATAAAATACCTTACTAATTGAATTTCTCTTACTCCTGTGTCTCCTTACGCCTCTCTACTCATATTAGACATTTTTGCAATGGCAGTTCTCTCTTCTTCCTTTTAAAACAGAATTTAATTAAGAATTTAATTTTAGCTCTTTCCATTCCTCTCCATAGCTCTGATTTGATGTAGAAAAATCCAAGAACTCCTCAAGAGTACTGCAGCAGTACAGAGGAAAATAATTGTGGTATGAGTGAGTTCCAGCAACACGTATGGGTGGCATCGGACAGTTTCCATAGAATGTAGACTTTATATAAAATATTGGAAAAAATGAATAAAAAATAGTGATTTTCAGTTTGACTTTGAACTTTTGAGGTTGATAGTGAATATTTGAGTTCAGTGACTACAGGTGAGTTGATAGTGAGTTATTCATGCTTTAACTTACTGAAAGCCTTCAGATTCCAAGGTGCTGTGCTGCCATTTTCCTGGGATGAAAGAGCAGGAGAGTTATCTGGACATTTTACTATAGAGCTTTTGCCCTAGGCCACCTCAGCAGAGCCTTCCTGTAAAGGCAGGGGCAGATCCGACCTCCCTTTCATCAGGGCTGGACACTGATTATGCTGGCTGTAGCTTTACTGATGAAAGTATACCAAACTTCCTCTTTTCAGACAAGTATAAACCTGGGGTTATTACCAGGGCTTGAAGCATTATGACATTTGAAGCTGTGGAAACCAATCAACTTATACTTTATAAACTACTTGTGACACATATTACTGAAATACTGGCAGCATAATAAGTCTAATGTTGTTGTTACAATAGAAGGCAAAGTTATTTATGTGAAAGCTGCACATTAAAATGAACAAAAAAAATACTGCATTGTCTTTAATGGATGGAAAAGTTGATTTCACAATTAATAGGTTCCGTTTTGCTTCCTTTATGTAAATAAATTATGTTGTACGCTTTATAGTACTAACAAATTGATATCTTTGTCCTAAGCTAAGTAATATTACAAGTTGCTGTAAAATACATGCTATTTTAGAAGATCTTTATAAAGACATCTTTGTTCTGAATGACTTGTATTCAAATGGATTCACTTAACAGAAACTGGTTTTGTTTGTGTGAGAAATGGCTGTATGATTCTCGTTGTGGTCTCACAGAACAATTAATAGTATAATGTTATGCTGATCTAGGGAAACACTGAAGTGCCAAACAAGACAGCATATGCTCTTAATTTCAGCTCCTGCCTCCCAGAGCAGGTTCGTGGTACTGATATCATATCCCTTGTGGGTGGAGGGGACTTGGGTGCCCAAGTGAGGGTGTTCACAATCTTTCAGCACCTGTGAAACTTGCCTGAGGGATTTTAGTGCCTGTAGGGGGGCTGCAGCACTGACTGTGGAACTGGGCTTGGTGCCAAGATAATAGCTTGAAAATTGCTCTGGTTGTCTCTAACTGTGGAGTTTTTAGCCTGTAAAGACTAATGACTCATTCTCCCCCTTCACCTGCTCTCAGTAAAATCATTTTTGGCTGCATGCTGGCTGACTTCTAAAGAGGGGGAGTTCTTTCTACCAATATTTCCCCCAAATTTGGTAAATTAACTGCTTGCATGCGATATAAGAGCTGGGAATTAAAACTAGGAGACTGGTTTAGGCATTCTGTTCTCTGTGGAGGAGCTGGTGCTAATCTGTCCTCAGATAAGAATTTAGGAGTCATTAATTGTGGCTGTGGACCAAAGTGCTCATACTGTTTCAGATTTTCCTTGTTTTTCTTTGCAGATTTTCCCAGTCATGCATGGGAAGTTCAGCTCTTACATTTCTATTCTCTCTGAGTTTTCTTTTCCTTTCTTTCTAATACTGTTGCCAAGAACAACCTCTCTAGGTAACGTTGCTGCCTCTCCTTCACGTAGCCCATCTTGAAAGGACAGACCCTTTCAGGCTGCATCTTTGAGGAGGGTAGAGAGTAGATGTGATTCCAGATGGCATCAGATTTATTAATTTACCTCTTTTGATTTTTCTTAGACCTCTGCAGTACCTCCCTGCCCTGCTGAACCTCTCAGTGTGGCACTGAGCACTGGTGACTGTGTGGGTGACATTCAGTTTGAGACATAATGATGCAGCCAGCTGTAACTGCTGACCTTCAGCTGCACATCCCTCTGTTGAACACACTGGGTGTTCTGCACACCAGAGAGCAGCTTGTTTGTTTTTCATTTCATTGAGAAATGTCGTTATGTGGAAAAGTCAATTTCCTTTAGAATGGAATAGTTTTTCGTTTAACAGGTAGATGATCTCACGCAGATAATCCAAAGTAATTAACAGAGGAAAAATATCTAAATTAGCACAGATCATCTGGAAAGGATGTAGTTCAGCTCACAGATATCTTTCATCATCTGTGTTCTGAGCACAGTGTGTATAGATTTAGACTCATGTCCCAATAAAATTTATAAACCAAGGAAAAGCCCCAATTTATTTTGGCTTTTTTTTTTTCATGTTAGCATATACTGACACCTTTTCTTTTTGCTTTTTTCCCCACCCTGAGGGCCTATAGAACTGGTATTATTGTTACCTAGGGGACATCCACACCTCAAACACTTTTTACAGAGAGAGTATCATGTTATTGAGGTTCCAATCCAACACTATTAAGCTTCCCACATTTTTAGATGCCTTTACTGGAGATTGTATTTTTCCCATCATGAGAAAGAATTTTTTTTTCCTCTTAGTACGTGTCAGTAGCGTTCTAGGATTTTTCTAAGTATGTCCCACTTTGTTCAAAAAAGAACCATGAAATACACTGGAACTGGAAATAAATCTGTAACAGTGCTGATATGACAGCTTTATGAAGATTTTGATTTGAAATTGAAACAATTTTTTTTGCAGGAAAGTTAAGCATTTTGCTACATAATTATATGAAATGATTCATAAGGAATGTTAGACAATTCATGTGCTTGTAAATATTTATTAGCAAGAATGTTTACAGACCCCTTTGTCATTTAAAAAATAAATAACTTTGGGCAATGGAAGAAGAACGATAAGGATGAACTAAAGAGATATTAGCTCCATTTGGTGTGAACCTGTGTGACCAGTTTGCAGAGGTTTAGCATTAGTAGGGGCAGGCCTGGTGCCTTTGAAGAGGCATGGCCGGAGGCAAGGCTGGTGTGAAGTGGCTGGGCTGCTGCCCAGCTCTGATCCTCTGCTTGCTCATGCTCACTCTTTTGGTGGGCGATGCATTAGCTTCTGCTGGAACTAATCACAGCTCTTGTCACAAATTTTCTGGTTCTTTGGCTCAAAGGCACAGCACAGTGGAGTTGCTGGTCTAGACCGCCAGCCAACTGAGTGAGAATCCAGGATGTATTATGTCAACAGCCTTGACAAAATCTAAGGGCAAGATGTGTGCCAAAACCTGGGTATGCCTCCTTGACTCTATCCCAATTCTTTTGAAAATCTCTGTTTAAAAAGGGTTTTATCCTTAGGTGCAAAAAGAGCATACATATTGGGTTTTCTTAACCAGAAACACTATTAACTACTGACAACGTAGAGCAGCAAAAATTATTGTGTATACACCTTCACTGGTTTAACACCTAAATGTCTCAAAAGTCTTGTTGGAGTCTTGCTAAAAACCCTGGAGTGCTCCTGCTCATATACAGATACAGCTGTCTTTTGTACCTTTCAGACACTGTTTTTACATTGGTTTTGTTGCTGTTTTATTAAATCCCCCAAACATGATGATTTTATCTTACCACAGGATCCTTTAGGGATTTTCTTTTCTGTTGCTTGAGCACCAGTTGAGCTGCAGAAGGGAGTTGCACTGGACCCCAGTCAATCGAAGTATAAGTGGTTTAATGGGACATCTACTGCAGGTTTTTGGTGTGTGCACTTTCATGCCAATCAAAATGTTTAGTGTAGATTGTATTGTATTGGCATGAAAGTTCAGTAGCTTTCCTGGATCTATCAAGATCTAGGAGACATAAAATGGTGCAAGAAAAGCACTTTGCTTTCTGCCCAGACTTTTTTTTTTGCACCCATTAATTTTTTTCTGTTTACTTTTCTTTTTCATAGACAATTGTCTCCTACACCCTCTGTATCCGACTAAACTGATCCCTCCAGCTAAGTCCCCTTCATGTCCTCCCTCCATCTCCCTCACTGACTGTCCAAACTCTGGACTTTCAGCCACTTCTGTTGTGTGTTATGTTCATGAGAATCCTTATAGCCCTTACAGACACAACTTTTTGTACAATGAGGTGAGCATCAAGTATAGTGTGATTCAGGATCTGTGTAGGCTGTTATCCTTTTAATTCTAGGCAGAATTCAGTTGAGTCATTAGGATTCAGTGCTGGTAAGAGCTATGGAAGATGTATCTCACATGAGCCTGTGTGTCCAGCTCCCCTGGAGATATTACAGCTCTTCCTTTCCTGACACGGCTTATGTTGGGTCTGGCTTTCTCTAGACCGGCTAGGACAGGCTCCCACCACTTTTCATTTAAACTATTTCTTCTCTAAAGCAGTAGTAAAGTATTTCTTCCCTCATGCTAAGATTAGTTTTAACATTTCCCCTCACTAAAGTAATGGGGTATTTATTTTTTCCTTGGTGATTGAGCAAAGGGAGACAAATCTGAGAGAAATACAGACTTTTCCAGTGGCTCTCTCTGTCATCCTGACAAGCAGTTTTCTCTTGCCAGTGCAAAGTGAATGATGTTCTTGCTGACATTTTTATCTTCTTTGCAACAGCATTGGAGAAGTTGGACAAAAATCTCTGTAGTCTGAGGCGTGTGGGTAACAGGGCTGGCTAATGAGCGTTGTAAGGTGAAAATTGAAGTATTTGTGCCTAAATTTGTGCCTAAATTGAAGTATTTTGATGAGCAGCTGACACAAGATATTTACAGTACCTCAAGAGAGCTCCTGCCCTAGAAAAGCATCAGTTGTGGAAGTTCATAAAAGATGCTGTTTGAAACCTCTCAGATGCATCTCTTCTACTTCCTCTTTTTCTAACACAGAATCTGTCTGGAAATGATCAAACCTTGTTTCCAGGAGAGACTGTCCCACTCTGAGCTGCACAGTGTACTTTGTTTGGGATGCAAGAGGTTAAAACGTTGGCATTGGGTGCTGTTTATTTAACGCTGTGTCCTGGTTTCCTCTTCAGGGGAAGTACCAGGGTGAAATATGTGTCACTAGTTGCAGGCACGTTTGACAAGGAGTCAAGACTGCTTTGGAAAAATGTGTAATCTCTGCAGAGGATACATGTTGATCAGCTGTCAGACTCTAAAGAAAAACCTGGAAATGCCTTTCTCCATTCTAGAAGCATGGTTTAGGTTAATAGGCAATGTCAATAGTGTTTGATATTGGCCCCTCCATCCCGTGGGATTTACAGAATTTACCATTTTACCCACTTATGAGGATGAACCAGGAATAAAATTAGAACTAAAATCAACCTTTCACTCTGTCTTTGAGACAACCTGAACAAAAGCACCTTTTCCCATCTGAGAGACTGGTTTAAACAGAACAAAAGTTCTGTTTAAATTTTTACTGAACTGGGCTGACATATTTACTTAGGCAGAAAAGATTTTACAATGAAATATTTTGGAGAAGTTTCCTGGTTCATTGTAGGCATTCACATGAACAAACAAATAATTCATCTGACCAATAAAACCATTGCTTTTATAAGGAAAATAGGTATTTACTGTTGCTAATGAAAACAATGCTAAAAACTCACAAATTTGAATAGAAAAGTGAGTAAGTCAGGAAAAAGTTGTCTGAAGGTAACTAAGAGAGTGTAATTTTTTGGTATATCATGTCAGCTGTTCTTTGGCAAACAGAATAATCAGATGTCAATACTGGGCTATTTTAATACAAACAGAGTTTTTTCCACCTCAAAAGCAAATATTCATCAGTTAGATTTTTTTATGCTTCTGTTTTGGTCTATAATATTAACATTCATTGATAAACAAAGGAATATTAATTTTGATTTTGTTCTCATAACCAATATTTAACATTTGAGTCAGTATATGCTGATAAAATTCCTAATGGTATTTGCCTATTATTTCCTGTACCACCCAACTAAAATCTTAAGGTAATATTTTTAAAAAGAGATTATTAAATTTATTGTCATAAATACTTGCAGCAGCAGAAAACATAGCACAGCAGACACAGGATAAAGTGCTGACATTTCAAACAGTTAGACCCATTCTGTAAACAACATCCTGACAGCATGGGAATTTCTTTCTGTTCTCTACTAAACCTGGACTACTTTCTCTGTTAGTTCCCTGGATTTTCCCCTTTCCACTTGCCATCCTTTAGGATAAGGAATAACATGCAGTGACTCACCTGCTGTCTCTCCAGCCACCCAGTAAACACATGGTCAGTGTCCACAGGGTCAATCTATGAACGATAAGTTTCTAATTACGTGTTGTGTTTTGCTTCACCTTCCACTAGAGGGCAAAACCAGCTGGTATAAATTGTTATAACCATTCTAAATATGTTAAAAATGCAGTATTGAAAAGGGGCAGGAGGTCACATTGAATTAAGTTATTCTCCACCTCTACTATTGTTAAAAAATTACCTTAAACCAGTGTTGCCTCAGAAATGGGAAATGGAAACAACCAAAATGATTACCTATGTCTTATATTAGGGAGACTGGATATGGTGAGGACCTAATGCCAGGATCATGTCATTTGTTGGCTCAGGGTATAAGATAATATCAGCTCTATTGATCTGAAATGCTTATTGTGGTGTTGTTCAGGCAGGCTTGACTTGGTGCCAGATTGGTTTTTTGAAGTACCTGATCTCCATAGGTGATGAAATTACAGAGATCAAGCTGAAAGATAGACTGGGCAGTTTTTGTTGATTATAACTGTTTGAAGTGATGAAATACATAATTTGTATCCCAATAATTTCACAATGTGATTTTAAGATTTCATAGAAGGAGGCAGTGGGAAAAGGTATTGTGTCTCTCTCCTCATATCTGTGCACAGGCCACTTCTGAAATAAAAATGTTGTCCACTTCATTGAGCTGATTCTGTTCTTACTTGCCTTGTTATCTCTCTTGTCCTCTCCTTCCCCACTCTGTTGCCCAGCCACCAGGTGTTTCTGCTCTTATTTAAACTCCCCAGACTTTAATAATTACATTATTTAAAAGTTTTATTATTTAAAAAGCTCCTTTTCCTTTTGATTGCAACAAAACAACTCAAGAAAAAGGAGTGACATACAAGTGTTGCAGTGATGGAGAGGAAATGTGGAACTCTGTGGTTTGCTCCAAAGCATGGTTCTGATGGGAATCCCTCCAGTCTTTAAGGGAGAAATGTGGAAGAGCACAACTCTGCGCCTGGGATACTGTGTCCAGTTCTGGTCTCTGCAATTCAAAAAAGATGCAGACAGGCTGGTAAGAGTCGAAAGAAGAGCCACAGATGTGATCAAAGGACTGAGAAGGAGAACCTGTCGTATGAGGAAAGACTGAAGGAGTTAGGTCTTTTCTTCCTGGAGAAGGGGAGGCTCAGGGAGGACCTCTTCACAAGATTCTAGTACTTAAAAAGCAGTCAGGGAGAGGACAGAGGCTTTCTCTTCTTATGGAGCCACCTGGAGAAGACAAGGTACAATAGGTTTCACTAGCAGTAGGAGAGAATTAATCTTGTTATACAAAAGATTTTTTTTTTTTGTGAGAGGGATCAATCACTGGAACAACCTCTTTAGGGATGTTCATAATCCCCACCAGAGGTGGTTTTCAAGACGTGTTTGGACAGAGTGCTAGGTAACCTCACCTAGGCTCTGTTTCCCTCAAAAGGCAGGGCCCTCCCAAACGGTGCTCTTCTAAGATTCTGTGCTTTATAGGAGGCACAATAGATGTAAATACCTCTCAGGGCAGAGACCACTAGCTTTTAGAAAATTAGCTATTTTTTGAAGGAGAAAGGAATGACCTGCTCAAGCAAAGAGACAAGAAATGGATGAGTGTAGCTCCTTCAGTCTCTAAGTCTCCAGTGCCTTTCAAACTTTTCTTTCTGGCAACAAGGGCTGAATACACAATTTATGAACACTCCTGTGAAAATCTCCCTGTTTGTTAAATATTTAGCAGCACAACCTTTGAAAATGGATTGGAGGGAACTGCCTTTTTGCAAGCAGTGTGAGAAATGTTAAAAAATTACCATTTCTGTCCGGTCAGGCATTACTTATAACAGTAGCAGAGGACAAGTTCTCTCTAATGTCCAACTTTGTGCTCAAGCCAATTTAATTTTTTTCCTTAATGGTCTAAATGGAATTTTCTTGAAACCACTAAATGCAGTCATGCCAAAAGTGTCAACTTTTCATAATCACTTGCAGATTTCCAGGCTCATAGGAAAGCAGAATATTTAAAGGGAGTCTTTATTATTTTTTAAATGAAATCTGTGGTGTTTACTTCACTATCCAATCTCCTACTCATTGGAGTTTGATTAATAGTAGCATTGTGGGAAGTGACATTCTGTGAATACAGCAGCCTTTCAAGGTTGCCATGGAAAAGCACTTTTCTCCCAGACATCATCCCAACAGCTTTTATTTTCTAGAAGACAATTTCTTTCTCTCTTTTGAACTTTGGTATTTAAATGTTGCACTTGTGTAAGTGTATTGTGGTTGATCAATCTACTATCTGCGACCCAGAAAAATTGCTTTGGTGTAAAAAAAGATATCAGAGGTAAACAAGTCAGTTCATTAGTGCTGAGCTAGAAATTGCAGCTCCTTGTTAGGAAAATAGTAATGATTAATATTGCTGTGTTTTCTTTGTATATTATTTTATAGCATTCTTGGGCTTAATGATTTATTTTAATGATTTCATATTTAGATGATATTTCTATCACTTTTGACTTGGTTTGATAATGCCTTCAGAAAATGTATCCACGGTCCCTGCTCAGCTTATCTTTAAAGGAAGGTGTTTCTCTTGAAACACTTTTTAGAAAGATCATAACTTTCTAAACATAATCAATTGCTTTCTTTCAAAACCCATTGAATTAGCAACAGAACTTGAAGTTATCTTAGGCTCAACAGAAGACCCAGGAACAGGCCCTTAAATGGAGGCGTCCTAAGTCTGGCACCACCTGGAATGACCTTAGCTACCCATTTCTCTGGAGACAGCTCTTC